CTGAACTTCTTTACAGCAGTTATAAGTTCAACTGTTAAGTTTACATCTTTCTCTAAAATTATGTCATAACTCTCTTCTTTCTATAATCCAGCCTATGGACCCTCTTTCCCCCAAAATAAGACATCCCCTGATAATAAATCCAATCGGGCTTTTGAACACATGGCAATAAGGCCAAGCACTTATTTCAGGGTTCAAAAAAATATAAGACAGCATCTTATTTTTGGAGAAACACAGTAATCAAAATCATCCATTTTTAAATTCATTTAATTCTTTTTTTTAAATTTATTTTGAAGAATTTGATTTTTTTAAATTGTTCTTAATACTCAGTTTATTCTGATCTTTCACTTTCTTCATACTCTCTCTACAATTTCAGACATACTTTATGTACGTCTGGTGATCTCTCTCTCTTTCATAAAAGGTGAAATCAGATTCTGTAATTGTAGAATTAAGAAACATAAAATTGTTGAGTTGAGAGAATCCTTATATGTCATCGAGTGTGTTTTCCTCCTTCAGATAGGAATCTACTAAACTATCTCCAACTGGTAGCTTTTGAGCAACAGGAAATCCATCACCAGTGCAATTAAACCAAGGAAAGTAATATTGCAAATAGAACCTAGCCCCTATTGTTGAGGGGCAATGCTTTATCTAAGACTACACAATAAGTGGTAGCATTTCAATGCAATGATCACATTGGAGTTCTCATATAATTTATATGAGATTCCTTTATATGAGATCCTATCATGGGGATCTCATATAAAGAGATGCCCCCCCCTATATGTCCTTTTTAATGGAGACAATTTTCCCAATATATAGATGGACCATAATTTTTCAAATAAAAAGTGTATCGTAATCATCTTTCCCCTATGTTCTGTCTCTCATTCATTTATTTGTGGGTTTTTTCCCCACTATCCTTTGCAGAAAGAAGGATTTTGCCATCTGCAGATGCCCCGTTTTTCAGCACTGCATCACCTCCTGGTGGCCAGGAAGAGCTGCTCTGTGGATTCCCATCAGCTCATTCTGGCACTCTTTCAGCACAGACAACTTGGCAACTTCTCTTGCCAAGTTCTTAAAAGTCTCTGCTAAACATGCATACCCTGTAATGTTTCGGAGGCTTCCAATCTGCCCAAATGTGGACAGATTTTTCCTGAGGTTGACAAAAGCAAAGCTATTGCCTGACACCAAAACGAAATCTCTCTGTGGTCATATTTCAAGACATTACTTGAAATACGAAAGTGCTCCAATGTCTTAATGCTACTATTGAACATGAGGTGGCGATGAGGGGTGAGTAGATGAAAAACCACATAGCTATTGTGTGGCTCCAGTTATCATATTCAGAAATGTTAACCATTACAATTGAAACTGGGAAAAATCAATGTGAGGGGAAATTATTTATTTATTTACTTATTTATTTAATATTTTTAACCCCATTTTTATTTCTTCAAGGTAGGTAGGTAACTCAAGGTAGGAAATATACCTAATACTCTTTCCTTCTCTCTTCCTGTATTTATTTATTTATATCCCACTTTTATTCTTTTTACAAATAACTCAAGGCAGTGGACATATCCAAACACACCTTCCTTCTCCTATTTTCTCCACGACCATAACCAGTGAGTTGGGCTGAGAGCGAGTGACTGGCCTAAAGTCAAAGTCAGACATATATGAAATAATTGTGGTGTCATTAATGATGTCCTAATCAGAAATGTGAATGCAAATATTTTGTAGGCAGATAATGCCAGGTTGTTGGCTGAAAACAATGATACACATTGTGTGATCTTATTGAGAATATTAATCTGAAAAATAATGTATCAAACACTAAAGTAGTTGGGTTTAAGAGGAAAAATGAAGAAAAATTGTAAATAGAGCAATTGTAAACTAGAGCAATTAGATGAATTTATGTATTTTGCTAGAATGTTTTAAAAACCTGGGGAAACTGAGAAACTTTAAGATGTGCAAATCCTGGAAGAAAAATAGTAGGTAGTAATTTATGGTCTCTTGCAAGGAATGGAAATGTGTTGAAAGCAGCAAAATGATTGTGATAAGAGCATTTTTGTCCATTTTGTTATATGGAAGCGAGAGTTAGGTATGTCAGGAGAAACAGTAAATTGAATACTCTACACAGGAATGAGATATTAAACAAATGTATGTGGCAAAACAAGATGAGATGCGGACAAGAATGAATGGCTGCTGTAAGAATGTACACTGAATAAAATTAGGGACCACTGCAGAAGTACATTATGGTGGTTTAATCAGATAGGGGGGAAATCACAAAACAAGGAACAATGGATGGATCAAAAAGAAAAGGATAATGGGAAACTCATTGTTGGATAAAGTTGAAGAGATTCTCAGAAAGAGAGATTTAAAGAAAAAGATGGACAAAGGATGAAATACTGTCGTAAGGTGGTAGAAGCAACAATTTGCAAGAACAGAAAGATATTGAGAAATATATTAAATGGTGTTGATGTACACTAGATTTACTTATATTTTCCTCCTTTTCTTGAGATAAGAACAATTGTCTTACTTTCTTTGGTTTATTGTTTCTAATGCTTTTTCAGCATTTCGCATTTTGCTTTTCCTAAACAGGAGTAGCCTGATGAATATATATGCACGGATACATTACAGTGGATTATATTATGTTTAATGACTGTGTGGATAATATTCCTAAATAATTGGCTATATGCATATCTCGGTCTTTGACTAGCAGCACATTATAATATCTGGATTATGGTAGACTAACCACCCCTAGTCTAATAATTTCCAGATTCATCCATTCTCCATGTAAACTCTAACTTCTGAAATAGGATAATTCAATCAGTAATGGACAAATATGTGAAAATGCTTGTGAAAATGCATGCTCTTGGGAAAATTTTCATTATTGGCTCTGCCTATAATTTCATGCATCCATTTAATTAAATTGAATACTAGGGCATAGATACAACATATTTATTTCCCAGGAGACCTCTTATATCTATCTCTCCACTCAACTTATAACTTTCTTGGCCTCTCTCCCATCTTAAGTACATCCTGCATTCACAGGAAGCACCAATTTTCAAAGCAATGGTTGTAGAACGCCCTCTGCCGGTCAGGAAAAACGTCAACAAAATATATTTCCACAAAAAAGCCCACAAGATGAAAAGTGGCAGAATCTGGTTTTTTCCCCAAACTATATTTCAGCCTTCTGTAACTGTAATGGTTTATTTATAGCCATTCTTCCACAAAAATTCCAAATATCTTGAATAAAAACTACAAAAATGAGCAAAAATGTTTTAAAAATCAAATGCATTTAATTATGAAAAGAAAGCAAAGACAGGAAGTTTATTATTGGAAAAAGGGTGCCTGGCAGATCCCCCCAAAAAAACCATTCAGAATCATAGCTTCCTATAGAATAAACCAGAGTATAATAATTGTAACCTGCTGAAGAATGTAAAAATATACTTTTCTATAGTAATATATCTTTAAGAATATATGGATTAAAGATGAAGCCCTAGAGTGATAATCTTGTACATGTCAGCCATCAGTTTGCTGTAAGTGTGCCTAATACAACTCTCATGCTCTCCATTCCTCTACTTGGTCTAAAATAGCAATTTTAGAAGAAGAAATTTCTATTGAATAAGTACTGAGGGTTAAATGTCTGCTTGGGCCTTTTATTTAGGCATTTCCAGCAGGACATCCAGTTTATTTCAGTAAGTAAAATACATTTTTTAAAAATCCTCCAAGTTTCAGAAACTGTTTATGATGCAGTCTCATATCCTGAAATATTTACAGGATTCCCTGGACATGGTTAATTTAGTTTACTAGTTGGATTAATAATATAGTTAAGATAAAACATTTGACATTCTTTATTTCATGATACAACTTGTTTAAAACCAAGAAATTTGACTTGCCTGGATTTTGGAAAGGACTGATTATTGTTATTTGAATGCTTCTATTTAATGAACTAGTCTCAAATCTATTCCTGATTTTGGAGACCATACAGTAAATCTCTAAGGATATTATTAAAGGCTACAGTACTTTTTTCTGATGTGCATACTGTACTTGATTAAACCATGCACGATGCAATGAAGTCATTATTACCTTTCAATTATATTTTGCAATTTAGGAGCTAGGTTTAACCCCAGGTGTTTGCTTACAGCCTGCTGCAAATATAATGTTCTAGGTTTTTTTTAACACGTCTTATTTGAATTAGCAAGATAATTTAATGTCAAAAGGAAATCCATGCGTTTTTAATGGATGTTGTAGTGCAGTTTGGGGGTCCTATTTATATTTAAGTTAAGTGGGGTGGTGGGAGGTAAGGAGATCATTTGCAATAAAACCCAGTGGCTTGCACTTGAGATGGCTTAGATGTAAAGTAAATGTAACGTTGATTTTTCCCCTCATGTTTCACAGCTCACTTTAAATTACACTAATGAAAAACATTCTTTAAAACAAAACAAATATCTTTAGCGTAGATATCTAGTACCAGACACGTATCCAATTGCAAAAAGTTCAGAAAAGTAAAATACCATTTCCCCAAATAATGTGCTATCAGGAAAACCGTGAAATAATATATATTTCAGTGTGTGTCTATATCTATACATGTGTGTATGTGTATATATGTATATGTACACACACACATATATACATATTTAAAAAGCATTATCTGTCTGTCTCACTGATTTCAATAAGGTTTACTCCAAGAAAGCGAGTTAAGGGACAATAAACCGCCCTTCCCTTTTCGTTAGCTAAAAGCAAGGCGAGATCGCCCGTTGCAAAGTAATTTCCTCCTTCGGTTCATTCAGCGCAGGCGTAAGCCCGCCCCTTTCCTCGGACCGTAGCCATAATTAAAGGATTAACGAGAATCACAAGAGCTGCAGTCTACCCTCCGGTCCAAGCTCCGCGTTGATCACGTGGACAAAAATCCACAAATGAGATTTAACTCATTTCCCATGTGCTTGCCCGGTGGGACCTGGCAGTCGTATTGTCCAATGAGAATGCAGGGTGGGTGGAGCCGAGGTTGTTTTTTTCCCCGCGTTGCTGTTGGAGGGAGGCGGCAAAAGGAGGAATTAGTTTGTTCTAATAGCAAGAGGTTTGGGACAGTGGGGTGTTGGGTTTTTTTTGTGGAGTCCTTCTTTTTTTTTCTTACAGGATTGCGGAGCGGCAGCTTCTTTCTCATGCCAGGGGTGGCCATTCAGCAGGCTTTAGCTTTGGGATGGAGTGGTGAAGCCTTGTGTGCAAAGAGCAGAGCGAAACACGTGTCCAGGTGGGAAATTTAGCATTCAGACGACGGTGGACTGATGCCTTTCATACCAAGGTATCTTTTCTTAGATGATAGATTAGACAGACAGACGGTGATGATAGATAGATAGATAGATAGATAGATAGATAGATAGATAGATAGATAGATAGATAGATAGATAGATAGATAGACAGACAGAAGTGCTTTGCTTGTTTAAAGTAATATGTAGACGTTTTTACTTTTTGCACAAATAAACAGAATTGCATCGGCCAGATTGCTTAGAATATTCGTTGAATTTGTCCCCAAGACTCCCTTTCTCCTAAACTTAAGGCACAGCTGTCCTTTTCTAGTTAGGACAGGGTCAGCATCACAACCAAATCACTCTACTAAAACAAATCCTATTATTCTCCTAGCAATTGCCTATACATGAAATGTCAAACCATCTACATCCATCTATCTATGTATCTGGAATGCTAAAGCAATTTTTCTATACCTTGTTAAGGCATAGGGTCTCATGAAATGGCTATTTAAAAAAAGACGCCGAAGAAGCAAAGCTGGTGCTTTTCAGCTATTCAGACAGGCGACTTCTGGAGATTACAGGTAGTCCTCAATTTACTTCACTTCATTTAGTGACCGTTCAAAGTTACAATGGCACTGAAAACAGGAACCTATGTCCATTTTTCACACTTACGACTGTTGCAGCATCCCCATGGATATGCAATCAAAATTCAGATGCTTGGAACCTGACTCATATTTATGAGAGTTGCAGTGTCCCGGAGTCATATGATCCCCTTTTGCGACCTTCTGACAAGCAGAGTCAATGGGGAAGCCAGATTCACTTAACAACCGTATTACTAATTTAACAACTGCAATGATTCACTTAACAAATATGGCAAGAAAAGTCATAAAATGGGGTAAAACTTGCTTAACAAATTTCTCACTTAGCAACATAAATTTTGGGCTCAATTGTAGGAATATATATATATATACATACATATACATACATATATATATATACATACATACATACATACACCAAAAAGCACAAAATAGAATTAGAAATTAAATCCATATTCTTCAAAAAAGCACATTTGACAATTTTCCATCTATTTTGCTGAACGCATGATAAGATGTAAAATAGTTTTTTTGTGTGTATGTCAGTGATGCTGAATAGTTTCTTCCAAAAGTAAAACCACCGCACAGCCTTTCCTGAAATCATAATTTGTTTGGCATCCAAATACTCTGAACTATTGCCATATATATGTTACATTGTCTGGTGTAAAGAGGATCTTAGGATTCCTTTGGATTGTGAAAAAATGCAGTATTGCAACTTTTATTGTTCACTTTCTGAGCAATAAAAGCTAAATGCTCCACTTCCATACATTTCATGTAACTGTTCAAAATCCAATTCTAGACACCAGCTCCTAGGCAGGCTAGGATTGATCTCCAGGACAATTTTGGAGGTGAGAGGCAGATCCTCATAGGAAACTAGTTCTGTGTGATAGTTCCATGGGACTATACTTCTACACATTTCTATAATTTCCATCAGAGGCTTGGCACTTTGTCACATCTCTTGTACTCTTCCACTAGAATAGCATTGCTGTATCCAATTCACATGCAAACTCTGTTCTATGAATTGGGCTGAGAATCTTTTCCATCCTCTTAGTGGTTCTGTAATTATTTTGTATTATATAAATGTATTATTTTTTAAATTTATATGTTAAGTTAACAGCTGGCTTTGGGAACGAAACATGCAAAGTAGAAACCTCATGCCCTTCAATTGCCTAAAAAGTATGAATAAAGCTTATTAATTTAAATAGACAGTATGTGGATTTATTGCCAAAGTTTGAATTTGTGATGATTTATGTCTCTGTGTGTGTGTGTGCGCGTGCACAATTTTCTCTTATTTTCTAGTATCTTCCTTGTGAAATAGAGTTCCTATTGGGTATTAGATGAAGAGTAATCATGCAGATATTTTGTTTCTTCCCAGTTCTCCTAGAGTTCTCTGTGACATCTCTCCTTTGGCATGAAGTGCATAGTTACAGGGGGCAATGTGAAAGGTGAGCTATGTACAACAATTTTATTTATTTATTTCAAAAAAAAAATTAAGGCTGCTTAACTCTACAACAGCTCTGGGCAACATATGGTACAAATGATAATAAAGTGCCATTAAAACAAACCAAGCCCCACCCACCCACCCAAATATCATAAGAAAAGCAATCATTAAAAATGTAAGACTCCTCACCTACTCTAACCCAAGACTTAGGGGGGAAAATAGATTTCCAGAGCTCATTTGAACACGACGAGAGTAGGCACCATGCATATCTCAAGTAGGTTAGTGTTCCAAAGGTCAAGTGCTATGACAAAAAAATAAAAAGTATGGTTTCAAGGGCCTATCAGATAACACTGCTTAATGGATGGGACAAGGAGCATGATCATCTGGGCTGGGCAGAAACAACAGAGGACAGATGGTTCTTTGGATAACTAATAAAGTATTAATAGATAATCAGCATTTTGGATTGCAACCAGAGGTCTCCTGGTAACAGTGTAGTTCATAAATTAAAAGTGTTACATGAGTCTGATGAGATACATACAACTATAGTGCCACATTTTGCTGCAACTTCTGAATAGCTGTCAAAGTTAACCTGATGTAGATTGCAGTGGTCCACACGCAAGAAAACAATAGTGTGCACGTGACTTATCTCAAGGGCCTCCTGGTTCACATAAGCAGACAATTGGTACACAAGATGTCAGCTGCCACTTTGAGTCCAATTTTGTGAGTCCCTTAAAATTTTGTGTAAGGATATTAATTTCTGATCTGGTCCTTCCAAAAACAGGAATATTGGTATAGAGAGACTTCTAAAGGAGCTTTTTCATCAGTAAAATAACAATCTTTGCAGGATAGAGAGATTAAGAACAAATGCAGGATTAAAGAGAGAAAGGACGATCATTTTTGGCTTTAGCCTTTTCCACTGTTGATATTACATGCACCCTTCCTTCTTCCTCACAGAGAACCATATAATAAAGAAGTAAACCCGGCCTTCATATAAATCCCAATAATTAATTAGTAGCAGGAGGGAGTTGTGATGGATAATTTCCCCCTACACAGATTCCTAGCTAGTGTAGGAAATAGCATTTCACACTGTATGAGTCTTCACTTTATCCAGTTCTTTGTGTTCTTCTCTCCCTTGTGCAGCCCTGGGGAAAGCAGTACATGCTCTCTCCCGAATTGGAGATGAAATCTACATTGAGCCAGTAGAAGAAGGGGTAAGTGGGGATCTGGGAGATACATACTTGGAGAACTTTTAAATGAATATTATATAAATGGAAAGCTACAGATATGTGAAAGAGAAAGTGCTTTCTTTTTCACATGATTGTACATTCCACAGAAAAAATAATGCACTTTAAAAAAAAAAAGTTAAATATAAAATGTTATGGGAAAACTTGGGTTTTAGGTGTTAATTCATTTGCCACTCTGATGCAAAAATATATAAAAACTTGCAATGTATTTTAAAAGATAGAACAAGATATAATGGAAAACCCTATGTTAGAGCCATGCAATGTATTTATTGCAATACAAATCAAAACTGTTCATTAGAGACATATCTCTTAGGTGGCCAGGAAATAATTTTGTTTGCATAAAAATAAAGTCCTGGTAAGCACCGTCCTGATTAAAGCAGGGCTACAATATATGGTAGTCTAAATTGGTGCATCTGTGTAGTTCATTTGTCAGCAATTTTGATTTGTACCAAGAGCTGTCTGACTATTCGAGTTTGTTTCATGTTTGGACAAGTTAAGCTAAATCCTTACAAGACATGTAGTAACTGACCAGGAAATGAGTGGTATAAATAACCGGGAAAACAATATTAAGTATGCTGCACTGCAGTGAAAGGCAAGTTTTACTATTGGGAATGTGAATAAAGTAATGTAAAATAATTTTGAAATGCTTTTATTCAATTCTATTGAGTGGCAGCAGTCACACTGTGTATAATTCTGATCAGAGTTCACCTCAAAAGATCCACTGAATATTTGGAGAAGAAAAAGAGAATCAGAATGTCTCCAGTAATAGTCGCTAGGGAATACTGGTGTAAAGTTGCCGGTTCCTGTAAGCATGCTGGCTGGGAGATTGTGGAAGCTGAAATCCACACATTTTAAGAGATGCCAAGGTTGAGAAACACTGCTCCACGGTCTGCGTGTGGGAGACCCATAGACACTGAGTGGGAGAATAGAATGCTGGAGCTGATCTGACCAAGCGTCCCTCCTGTAGCTGCTACCGTGTTTCCCCGAAAATATGCCCTCCCCTGAAAATATTTAAACGCATGCGCAGCCAGTCTGGTTAGGGTTAGGGAGACAGAGCTGGAAATCAGGTAAGATGGCAAGAGGAGCCCTGTCTTGCTCCATGTGCCCCAAAATAATAAGACCTCCCCGAAAATAAGGCCAAGCGCTTATTTTGGGGTTCAAAAAAATATAAGACAGGATCTTATTTTCGGGGAAACATGGTAGGTGTTGGAAACTGAGAGAAAGCTAAAGGCTGGAGAGATGGGGAGCTATTTCCTGTCCTACTGTTGTTTCCTGTTTTATCTTTCCAGTTGTCTTTGCGTGCAATAAACACATCTCGCTCTGCCTATGCCTGCTTCCTCTTCACCCCACTCTTCTTCCAGCACTACCAGGCTGGGGAACCTGGATCAGACCCAGATGTCGGTGCTTTCCGATGCAAAGTGCTCATGAAGGTGAGATGCTCTTGGACATTGCAGGGAGTGTACAAACTTTCCTCAAAACTCAAGTAAATATTCCCCCTCCGGGTTTTTGCGGTCTCTGCATCCCTTTCAAGTCAGTGACATATGCAGATCCAACCGTTTGGTCTGTAACTGACCTCATGAAGTCAACCTGGCCTGTGAGCGGCCCACTGAATTTAAAAGCTATCTTGAGGTTTGAACTTGAATTTTCCCCCATCCTAATTTGACACTCAAGCGTTATGCAGAATGCGACCCACTTAGTGGCTTTCTTTTGTTTTAAGAACAATCTCCCACCATTGTGCCTTGCAGTCTTTCCTAGCTGTATTCCGCTCAATCCCTGCTCTGGAGAAGACAGTGGAGAAATGTCTCATGTCACTGACTCCCAAGACAAACCGGTTCCGCGTTCAACTGCATTGCAAATATGGTGAGCACTGGAAAAGAGGCCTCCTTGAACATGAAAGGGCTTAACTTCAGACAGTAGAAAGGGGCTCATTTGAATGGAGGAATGATCACCTGTGGTTTAGGAATCCTGCAGCTTATTCATACCTAAATGGGAGAGCAAGATCCAAGAGTCATTCAAATGAACTTGGGGAAAAAATACAGGCCAGGCAAGAGTAAAGAATCTATTAAAAATCAATACAGGTAGTCCTCAACTTACAATGGTTCATTTAATGACCGTTCAAAGTTACAACGGCACTGAAAAAAATGACTTACGATCGTTTTTCATACTTAGGACCGTTGCAACATCCCCATGGTCACATGATCAAAATTCAGATGCTTGGCAACTGATTCATATTTATGACGGTTGCAGTGTCTTGGGCTCACGTGATCCCCTTTCGTGATTTTCTGACAAGCAAGTCAATGGGGAAGCCAGGTTCTCTTTACAACTGTGTTAGAACCGGTAACAACTGCAGTGTTTCACTTAACAACTATGGCAAAAAGGCAGTAAAATGGGGCAAAACTCACTTAAGTGTTTCACTTAGCAACTGTTCTGCCCCAGCTATGGACCCTAAAGAACGCAGCACACACAAAGTCCGTACAAACCTTCGTTTACTAATTAAGGACTACTAATGAGATTTCTTAGTAGTGTGTATGTGTGTGTGTGAAGCTATAACAATCTGAGCCTGTTAAGTTAAGCTCAGCTCATCGTGGATGGGAAATTATCACAGTATGTCTGGGCTATAAGCTAGATGGGAGACGTTGGGAAAAAATGCAGATGTCAGTAGTAAACTAACTTCTCTACTAATGCTAAGAAACCTGTGTGGTCATGTCTATGAACTCACTATAGTAAATCGAGCTCAGATCAAAGGAGATTGTAAACTTTTGTGATCTGCATAAAAATGGGGAATGACTGGCTTGTGAATTGAATTTAACCTGGAAGAAGCATGAACTGTCTTAACAGTGCTATCTTCAATGAATGCATGGAAAAGTGTTTCACTTTTTAATAAGCACATATTTCGTCAAAAGCTTTTACTCCCCCCACCCCCACCCCCACATCAATGTCAGCTTTTTTTCTTTTGTCCTTGAAAGGGATAAATGCTTTTTTCCCCTTTAGATTTATCACATCTCCCAGCAGCATTAGGCTCAGGACCCTGTGAAAGATATGCCTTAGGCCATTTTCCCTGACAATCAGATTAGTTTCAAGTAATGGGGTTTGTTTGGTTTCATCTTATATGGGATCTAGTGAACTATGGCATTTCAACAAATCAGTGTTGAAAGGATGTCTTAAGTGTAATAAATTTGTGTTTTCTCTCCCCCCCCCCCCCTGTATATTCATTGCAGGGGTTGTCAAGACTCACGATTTGTCATTCCAGGAATGTGAATTGTTACAGGCTGTTTTTGACAAAACGCAATACGCCCATTTGCTGCGTGCTTCTCCCAGGTGCGATCATGATGTGACTGAGAGATGTTTTAGTGCAGGGGGATGGGAGGCTATTATGGCTTATAGATTCATCTGACAGTCCTGGACATTCATGTGCTGTATGCATCGTTTGCACAGTGAATTCCACCATCCAGAGGCCCACTTATCAGTACAGCAGGCAATGTGTCAGCATGGCATAATTTACTATTATGTTGAAATAGAGGAGAGGATGTTTTGGGAATTGTTTATTTTGATTTATTAAATGTATATGCTGCTCCTCTCACCAATAAGGCAACTCTGACTAGACATTCCCTTTCCCTCCCCCAAATTGAGATATTACATATAAGAATATGTACAAACAGTGAGAGGAAACTCTTTCTGCAAGCCAATGCTGTTGTCCCAATTATATTACTAAGACAATAAGGACTAAGCACAGAAGGGAATTGCGGATGTTCAGCTATGAAGTTTTCCCTCTTCTACTCAGCCTCTTTCCTGCCTCTCTCCATCCAATTCAGGCTATTAGCAGATGCTGTGGTTCATTTCCCACTTAACCTGGCTGAAGTGACTCTGGGGGCCAGCCCTAATGGGAAGGTGACTCTCCGTAGTTACCTAGAAGAAGAGACAGGTGAGCTGCCCACCAAGCCTTGCTTCCAATTCGTCCCCCAAACCTGAAAAGACAAGGCTTTCTTACTTAGACTCCCTTAACAAACTATGCTGTGGCTAGCAAGTTCCAGCCTGAGGGTACCTTAGCAGTGTGGCTGTAAATCCCTGACTGCCTTCAGCAACTGTCTCTTACGTGCTTCCTCGTGGAAAGTTGTATGGAATGGAGAGAAGTGGTTACATGAAGAGATGTTTTCTGATCCATCTCTGTGTGACAGAGCCAAGTCGGATGATGGTGACGGAAATGTGCCTGAGTGAGGACGAGTTCCAGACCTTCCACATCAAGCAAGAAATACAAGTCACTTTCTGCCTTAAGGAATTCCGGGTGAGCCTGCATCCAGCTTTCCTGCCTTCTTTGGGATGGGGTTGAGTTTGTGCTTCCCAATCTGTTTCATCACCTTTCTCTCCTCCTTCTTCTTCCCCATCTTTAGGGTTTCTTGAGTTTTGCTGAGTCCTCAAATCTTTCCCTCGATATCCACTTTGACATACCTGGCAGGTAGGAGGGCTTCAACGATCAAATAAAGTCTCTTGCAGTGGCACCAGGCCATTTTAAAGTACAGTATTGGGTAACACTCGCTGGAGGGTATCAGTATTGTTTCACAGTATTGCTTTGAGTGTTTCCAGAGAGGCTTCTCAGAGACCCACATTTGATGTAAGCATCCTGCTTATACTCTTTAAAAAAGGCAGTTGTTCTGTCCCCTCCCACGAGTGGCCTTGCAGAAGCTCAAATAGCCCAGCAGTAACAAATGCAGGGTAGAGAGATTGAAGCTGGCCCTTTAATAAACAGTTCTCTTTCAAAAGTATATCAGTTCAGTAATTACCGGGCAATGTTCCAGAGGCCTTGGCAGACGGCCAGCAGGCTAATGCAGGAATGCAGACTCCTTTTCAAAACTCAAAACTAGCAGTTCTAAACTCCACTGCATCCAAAATGCCAACAAATTATTCACCACGCCTTTCCGGCCCAGCCACGCCCCTTTTATACTTTGTAGGGTGTGGCCCTACGTCTCCTGACCACACCTCTTGGGACGTGGCAATAGCTGTTCTCTATGACGTCTCCTACGTCTCTCTCTTGCATCCAATAGGGACTCCCTCTCCTCGTTACCGGCCTCTGTTTCCTCCTCAATTTGGCTGGGGTCCAGAGGCACGTCAGCAACTGTCAGTTCTTGCTGACTCACCAGTGAAGACGGCCCCTCTGGCACATAGCTCGTGCCAGCTTCCTCCATATCATCCTCCGAATCAGCATGCGAAGATAAATCAGCCTCCGTGGCCGGAGTCACAACAGCAGTCTTTTAAAAAAGTGAACGTATTTTCTGTTCTGCTTCACATCAATACCTTGGCTTGGTCAGCTTGGACATGATTCCATTCTCGTTGCTTTTTCTTTGATTCCCATCCAGTTGAAATATGTATGGCCACCCTTCCCATATTTATCTTCACAGGCCAGCTATCTTTACTGTGGAGGATCCTGTGCTGGAACTACAACTGGTCCTGGCCACGCTTTCCGAATCAGAAAGCCATCTGCCAGCCAAGTAAGAAACATTCTACCTCTTGCATTAAACCTCCTTGGCACAGAGATAAAACAAGTTGCTGGAAAAGAACAAAGCATTTAACAGGACCTACCCCCATCTCTCCCTGGCATACAAGAAGGTGGTGTCACTTTGAAATGGGCAGTTTTGTTGCCCTTTCAGCTGATCCCCAGTCTTGATGAACCATCTTAAAGGACATCCATGGCTGTTTAGTTACTTTGGGAACTGTTTAATATTTCAGCTTTAAATTAATTATTTCCTGCTATTCATCCGGCTGTGTTGATGCCCTTGCTGTTTGGGATGAGGACTTAATTGATGGGATAAGAACTTAACCAGTGGTCTCCAAGGAAGGCTTTCCCTAGGATTGACGGGACACCGTCTCTAAGAAAAGCAACTAGGGCTCCGTAGCTAACAAGCCTGTCCCCATTTGCCTCTTCCAGCACTCACAAGCCGGTTGCCCCAGCCAGTGACTTTACCAATGACGACATTGATACCTACATGATAGCCATGGAAACCACATGCGATGAAACGGAACCATCTCCCAGCTCTGCTTTCGCCACAAGACGTCCCAGCTCTGAAACCAGGGAATCAGAGAGTGAAAATGAGGATACCGTCCTTGGCACACCACCACAAAAGAAGGTAGGTGGAGCAAGCGTGTTACTGCTCAGCGCATGAAAACACAGTGGAGGGTGTCAGACATTGGTCCTGGAGAATCTCCTGACCATCCCCATTAAAGGATGGGAGAAGCAGGAGCATACAGTAGATGCTTTTCAGTATAGGAAGGTGTGACCATTGCAGTACTTATTGGCATCTACCCACACTGCCCCTTGGGTGTGTACAGCTGGCTACTGTAGTGTGTGACATATCACTTAGTTCAGAAGCAGAGGAGAGGCTTCTAAAAGTCATATTGGGGCAGTATCTGGGTGCTGCCACTGAAGTGGGTGGGGCGGAGATTTCAAAGGATAATTTCTTGGAGAAAAGATCAGTCCCATGTGAATAGAGATCATATGCACTTTGACCTGGTGTGATAAGGACATCCTGCTATTCTATTGCTTTCAATAACAATTACAATCAACTGGGACAAAGGGCCTGTGACTTCTGCATTTGTGATCACATGGGCACCTGTACCACCAGGCACTGTCTACCATAACTCAGTGGCATTTATATATTCTCTACATCCAGCCATTGCGGTTTGTAAAACATGGTCTAGGACTGTTTATGTATGCATGGAACAACTATTGAGTCATTCAATAATGTGTGGGAGAGTTGACTGTACTTTAGTGTGGTCTGTGTACCAACTTACCGTATTTTTGGGAGTATAAAACGCACCTTAGTTTTTGGGAAGGAAAATTAGAAAAAAGCTGATTGGCAGGTGGATTGGCCTCCCGGAATACCCCCAATCAGATGTCCCCAGAGGTGAATTTTAGCAACAGGTTCCTTGGTTGTGAGCTCTGTGCCTAACTTTTTTTTTCCTGCCTCTGAAAGCCTCCGAAACAGCTTCAGAAAAAAAGCCTCTGAAGCTGTTTGGGGGCTTCTTTTCTTCATTTCTGATGCTTTTTTCAGCTCTGAAACCTCTATTTGAGAAGCTGGGTAGGGCTATATTTGGAGTATAAGACGCACCCAGATTTTCACACCCTTTTTTGTGGGGGAAAGGTGCGTCTTATACTCCGAAAAATACGGTAAATACTTATAATCATATCCATTCCTTGCAGTTTGTCCTAGGTTTATGACTAACTTCAGTTGGAGCTGAGCCATTATTTACTAACTTTTAATGGCAGCAGCCAGGCTTTGTTAAATCATTCTATTGCAAAATCAGGTTGCTTTTTTTTAAAGTCACTTGAAAGTGGTAGAGGTGTGGTGAAAAGTACATTTGGGAGCAGCTTTGGAGCAGTTGGGAGGAACAGGGAAAGGAGGCAAGCAGTCAACCTCTAGGTATGGTCAACTTTATTCTGAGTATCATCTACATCTTTTCTTCTACATTTATCAAGATTGTTTTTGTGTGCTTTTTAAATTTGTTCCCGTTAAATCAATCTGTGATGCGGAAACTTTCAAGAACGCTTGCATCTTTTCAGCTTTCTTTCTCCCCAACTGTTATTTTCTTTTGCAGTTTCGTTCCTTATTCTTTGGATCAGTTTTAAGTGACTCCCAGGTGAGAACCCGTTCTTTTTCCAGCCAGGACGTACTAGCAGAGGACAGTGAGGGAGATTCGTGAGCTCATCTGGATTGTTGTGCGTGCAACACAACTCTGAATCCCAAGGAATCTTTGTCGGGTTAGGATTCTAATCTAACCTGCCCCAGCAAAATACTTTCTGACCAGAGACAGCTCTTCATTGGCATTTTTTAATTAAATGAACAGTGTCATGGAACTAGTATTTCTAGTGTAGAATTATAACAGAACCATCATCACTGCTTTTTTTTTTTTTTGAGAAGCAGAAGTGTAGGAGATGTTTCTTGCTTCGGGTTTGCAACTAATGTAAAGCTCTAATACATTTGTTTTATTAAAATATATATATATATATATACTTTTCCGTGTTTTGATGATGCCAAGGCATATTGCTGCTGTAATATACACCAACCTTATAAGTTTCCTTTTAGAGCCTTCCACTGTTTGGAGCCAGCTTTCCTCTCATTCCCTGTAATTAACAAGTTTTACTGCCACAGCTATCATTAGTTGGAAGGTATCTGGGAATGGAAATAAGGAAGAGGGGAAAAAAACTAGGCGGCTTCTAAAGCTGCCATTATTCAGTAAATATGGAAGGTGGCAACGGACTGGGCCTGTTCCCTTGTTACTTCTTGCTGCTTTCTCTAGGTCTTCAATCCAGCTTTGAAGTTAAAAGCTAAAACTGCTCTTAATTAAAGATCTTGTACAGTGCTTCTAAGGAGCAGGTGTATTGCAAAAAAAAACAAAAAAAAAACACCAACCCCTCTAGGGTTTTCTTTTAGGCAGTGAAATGATTGAAGCAATAGTTCCAATCAAAGGATTGCCTCAAGGGAGGCCATAACAGGGAATACAGTCCAGAGTTTTATCAGATACTTCCCCAGAGGCGGCCTCAGCAAATGAAATGTTAGATAACTTGAATTTGATTGGATTCCCTGCCCTTCTAAGAGGAAGCCTGTTGTTTTTGTTTTACTTCTCCCATAAGTGATCGAGGTCCAAGACCAGAGCTGCTGCTACAGCCAGATTCTGACTTCACTTGGTACAACTTGTTCAGTTGTCTGTACATTTTCCCAAATCAGCCTATTCAGAAGATGCACCTAATTGTACAGGGCAAGCACTATCCTCCTGAAACTCACAAGTGTTTTCCCAGCTTTAAAGGAGAAAGGAGGGTTGGGGGCGTATTTTGTCTGAAAACAAGGAAGCATTTTTTCTCCCAGCCCATTTCATTTTATTTTCCCAAAACTATAAAGAGAAGCAACTACATTAAGAATATTACATGTTTATTCAAAAAGAGATGTGGTACCCCCAGAGGGGAAAGGGGTGCACACATCAGGACACAGTTGGCAAAAAAGTCAATCAAAAATACCCCCAAAAATAATGACATTCCCTTCCTAGAGAATGAGATTTTTTTTTTTTTTTTTGGTATTCAATCTCATTCATTTTTTCTTTAAAAAAAATGGCTGGATCCTAGCATCCTAGGTAAGCAGCCGCTGTACAGTGTAACCGCTATGCAAGACAGCCCAGGCCCCTTAGGGAGGGCAGGCAGGACACATTACTTCTTGGCTTTGGCTGAGTTGCGTGGTGGAGTGACTGGGCGTCCACCAGGATTCAAGCCACTGAACTGACCATATTTGCCCTTGTTCTTGTCTGCTGGTTTCAAGATCTGCAGAAAGGAAGAAAAAGGTTAAGATGAGGGGGGGAGGGTAGAAATTAACAACTTTTTTTCTGTCCTTGATCCCTGGTGGAACAATTCCTACTGACTTCAATCTAATCATTGCAAATGTTTCAGGGTGAAAAAACTAAGCACCAAACCTCCTGAAATTTTAATATTAAAATTCTTACGATGAATAACTGGCAAAAATAAAACAGCCATAAAGTTCTCTTAATTTAGTGTCTTAGAATAAAACAAGCTTAAGGACATGGAATTGCACTTCAAGTTCCTTCTCACCCTACTTTTTTCTCTCTCTTCGTGGCCTTTAAGCTACAAAGTCCCGTTGGGCCTGTACATTCTGTTTCTGAAATTATATAAATGGATAGTATCCCAAAATCCCATCACATTCAATTATTTTCCTCATTTTTGAAAACTTTGGGACTAAATCTGTACACTCATAAGACATAATCTGCTTCATGTACCATATAAAAGAGGACCAAAATAAATGCCAAAAAAAAAAAAAAGAAAGGAATAATATCCCAATTCCTTTTAAATGTGGGAATTGCTTTTGGCGAAGAAGTTCTGAGGCACTTGATCTCTTTTCTCGATCATTTAAGATCATTAATAATATGTGCACACATGCATATTCAACCTGACAAAGTATTTTAGCTACAATTCTAAAACCACCACCTGACTTTGCCTTTGGCCTGTTCAAAAAAAAAAAAAAAAAAAGCCCACCCCACGATCACTCTTATTTCTGTAGCTTTTAAATTTCCATCCATGCCGTGGCCACACTGATAAGGCAGGGCAGGTGAGATAAAAACGAAGCAAAAACTAATTTGGAACATAAAGCCAGAAAATTGACAGAGGACATAACATAAATACAAAATTATTGCAGCTAGGAAAGTTGGTTTCCCAAGTATCCCAGTCTACAAAACAGACACAAACTTGCTACAGTAGTAGGAATTTAAATTTAAATGGATACAAAAATCCCTTTAAAATACAACTGATGGTTAAACATTGTATTCCAGAATCCTTTTTTCACAAAAATAGCACATCCTTTTATTGCTTGCCATGTGCGTAAAAAGATAACAGGTGTAAAAGTAGCACCTTCAAAAGTCCTTACCTGGAAGGAGCACATGAGGGTCTCATCAACGCTCATCATTGCCCCTGCATTGTCAAACTCGCCACAGTAGTTTGGAGCAGAAAAGAGTGTCACCAGCTGCCGTTTGGCAAAAAATTCATATCCATCTTCTACCACCTAAACAGGGTGGGAGAATCCATCAATCAAATATATGCACGTGCTCAACCCAGTTTAATGTCCCCTTGCCAACAATATGCTTCAACCCTTCCTTATTTCATGGTCGGCTTTTGCAGCTATGTTTCCCACCACTTCTCTCTTTAAAACTACGTAACTTCCCAGTTCACGAAGACGCCTTCCTCCCCCTCCAGCCAGGTGTAGCCTTTCCTACTTGCTTTATGCTCGTACCTGATGCGCTCTGCAGATCAAGTCAAGATCATGTTTGTGAAGAAATTTGGCGACCACTTCTGAACCAAATGTAAAGGAGACACCACGGTCATTTTCACCCCAGCCCTGCACATCCTTGTCAGGATCCGACCAGAGCAAGTCACAAAGCAGACCCTGGTCAGGCACATCTGTTGGCCTCATGATCCGCCGAATCTGTTCCATAGACTGGAGGTCAGGAGAGAGTCCTGGAAGGCAGAATTTGCACTTATAAAGCAGATTATTTCAACATATGGCTCTCACTAGAGGTAACGTGTAACTGGCTGTACTGGGAATCACTATTTTACAACACACTCCTGTTAGGGGTATTAACTGAAAAACTACATTGGAGAAGGCTTTCCACGCTCAATCCGTTAAGCCAACGGGATCAAAATTAGCCTGTATAAAATTTTCATCTAATGCTGCATCAAAGAGGAAACCAATATGGTTTTCACATTTTCCCAGGCTTCGTTCCACCTCCCAAAGGAAACACGCCTACGCAATATGCAAAGGACACCAAATTCCCCACTGTGCTATTGACACTGCCTATTACTTGACTTCTTTTCCTGTTGACACAGATTGCAAACCATCTGGAGAAATTCTGCATTTACTTTAATCTCTTGCCTGCAGCATTGGTGGCATCAGTAGTACGACCAGCTTCCTCACCCCCCCCCCAAAATTCTAGATAGCCTACCTCCATGACAGCAGAAGATTTTCTCGTCAACGATGGCAGCAATAGGTAGGCAGTTGAAGCAATCGGTGAAGGTCTTCCATAATTTTATGTTATACCGCCGTTTACCTATAGAAAACAGGAAAGGGGCAAAAATTAGCTGGGGAAAAAAAAAAGCTGAATAGTTTTGAACAGTCACATTCCTGCAAGATTTGTTGGATCTTGGGGATCTCCTTGGGGTTGGGGAGAAAGGAGGACTCATGCAGCATGAACATATTATGCCACACCCCATTCCCCAAACCGCTACCCTCATTATCTACATGTACTTGACCAATACACGGCTTCATTTCCCACTCCGTAAGCTTATTGGTGTGATGCACTCACATTCATCATAGAAGCCGTAGATACGGTTGATGCTCGCACACTCATGATTGCCACGCAAAAGGAAGAAGTTCTCAGGGTATTTAATTTTGTAGGCCAACAGCAGACAGATTGTCTCTAACGACTGCTTCCCCCGGTCCACATAGTCACCCAAAAAGAGGTAATTGCTCTCTGGGGGGAAACCTCCATATTCAAAAAGCCGGAGCAAGTCATAGTATTGCCCATGGATATCACCTGGGAGATGGTAGAAGAAAAAGAGAAATGAAGAAGTGATCAACAATTTATTTATTTATTTATTTATTAGTCGCATTTCTATGCTGCCCAACTCCCTAGGGACTCTGGGCGGCTTACAGCAAAAAAAACAAAAAAAACAATGTTTACCCATTGCATTTATACGTATGCTGTCTTCTTTCTGAGTGAGAATGGCAAGGGTGGGAAATGACTCCCAGAATCAGGCAGTCTGGCATTCATAGGCATCAATGTGCCTATAGACAACATCTTTAATGTCTTTAATGCCAGATTTCTTGCCCTACTTTAAAAACTGATTAAATGGGAAGACGATACAATGCAACCCAAGGCATTGCCCTCTAGTATCTTGGTTTACATAGACACGCTTGGAAAATTAAAATAACTGTGTGATGCAGCTCAAAGCTTCGTCTAAAAGATAGAGGAGCAATCTGACCAGATAAAAAGGCAAGCTACAACCCATTTTGAAAGTGCCAGTACAGAATCTTCTGTTCAATATGTCTTTTATGGCTGACCATGCCTATGGAGGCAACCCTTTTGAGAGAGCTCTAGCAAAAGGGGAAAAAAACTGTAATGGCATCCCACTTACCACAAATTTTGAGTGGGGCTTCTAGTTCCAGCAAGATGGGCTGGCTCAGGAAGATCTCTCGTGATTTCAGACATAGGCCCCGAATCTCATTTTCTGACAGCTGAACATTCTTGCCTGGACGTGATCCTTGCACTGGGGGAACAACAACAACAAAAAAAGATGACTCTCTCATTCCCGAGCGCCCATCTTCATGCTGGTTCACCTTCCCAGAGATATTCCCGACACATTGCTCTTCTTGTTTCTAGGAAATTCTGGTGTTTAATAACCAAATCCTATCTTGTCCCCACATGAAAACCATTATTTCCTTCTGCGACTGAGGAAGGCAGAATCCGTTAGCCAAGTCTGTGCCTGAAGGACCATGCATTAGTTTAGCTTCTCACAGGTTACCAAGCCATTATTGGCTCAGGAGACACACACTGGGGAACTGCCATGCAGTAAGCAAAGTCTTAAAGGAGCTTCATAACTGGGCCTTATTTGCTTTCAGTAGAACATTTATTCTGCTTTGGGACTATGTTTTTTTTAAATGAGGCTCTGAAGCAAGTGGATCAGTTAACAGCGCTGGTAAAAACACTTTGGGATGACAGCACTGTCCCACAAGCAGTCCTCTACCATCTAGCATAAACTAGCACTCCTTAACACAGTAATTACAATGTGATGGTGGTGTTCCAAATTTCTAGTTATAGCACAGCCAGAGTTTGTGATCACGGGTTTCTTCTTTGCACTGCTGCCTTGCAAATAAACAGCTCTAAATCAAAATCAAAACATTGCATCAACCTAAATCTATATAATCCACAGGCTTGGGCAAATTTAATATTAAAATCCTGCCTTATTCTGCTGTCAATCTCTCTCTCTTTCTCCAACTCCATCCACCCACCCCTGCAACAGGAACAGATTTAACCCACCTCACAAGTTAAATTCAGCAAGATTAAATCCCAAGCTTATCAGAACTAGGGCACAATTGGATAATCTGGGAAAGCCAACTCCCACTGAGTTGGTTAGCAGAAAAACGGACTCCATAACTCTGGAATTACCATATATAAAATAAAGACACCAAAGTGAATACTTAGGTTGGGGCTCTGATGATCTGTAAAGGGTCTTTACAGCAAAGGGTCAGGGCCGGATTTTCCTATAGGCTAACTAGGTTTCAGCCTAGGGCCTCAAGATCAAGAGGGGCCTACATTCAAATTGTTAGCAAAATTAAAATTACACTTTCACTATAGGTGAAAGGGCCTCATAAGTGGAATAGCCTAGGGCCTCTTTTCATCTAAATCCGGCCCTGCAAAGGGTCTTTTTAAGTCAACCCTGATGTATCCTCCTTTCTTGTTGGGTGTGGAAAGCCCAAGAATTAGGCTTGGATGGGTCATCTTTTCGTGCTTGGATGGGTCATCTTTTGAAGATCGCCTCCTTAAAAGAGCTTCAACTTCTGGTCCTGCTATCAAGGCCAGAACAGCCTGTTCAGTCAGGGCCCCTGCAAGCCTAAGCCTCTCCACTCCTCGCCCAGCGCCAAGAAGGTCTTTCCCCAGGGGTAGGCCGGCACCTGCGCCTCACCCCGCCTTCCATTTGCACCCAAGAGAAGCCAAACCAAACAACTGCAGGAATCGCCTGGCGATCCGGCTTCCCCGTTCTTCGTTTCCTCCGTTACCATTAGGAAACTCCGCTCCCCGCCTGAGTCAGGGGCTCATCACCTTCAATAGGGATACGATGAGCCCCCGGACACCGGTACGGATCGATCGCTGTTATATTCAGGATCGTGTCTGCAAGAACACTCAGCCGGCACTAGCAGAATCCCTCGGCCACCGGCACACCCTTCTCGAGGCGCAGGGCTCACGTCCGCCCCCGACCCCTCCGCTAAGCTTTCCCTCCATCCTGCAGAACGTCTTTTTCCGACGCCGGCATCCGGCTCTTTCCTTTTAGCGATCAGGAAAGAGGCTCGGCAAAAGGGGCGCTTTGAGCGGCTACAAAAGGCGAGCCGCGTTGGGAAAATCGACGCAGACGGGGCGGCGGGGGGGGGGAGGGGCAGCTCACCCAGGAGATTTTAGTCCTGAACCGACCTCTCGGTTCCCCGATGGCAAACGAGGCCGATGGGGATTATAAATGCCGCTTGGCCCGCGTAAAATAAGAGACGTCTCGGCAGGGAAACGGAAAGCGCGCTTCTGAGCCATTTCATCCCTCTGAAGGCGTGGGAGAAAATGCCGAGGCGCTAAGATCGCGCAATACAGCTCGATCCGGTTCCTTTCTCCTCCGGCCCAGATCGGGGGAAGTAAACCCGCCGCTGGAAATCCTGGGAACTCCCTTGCGCATCGGTCGAGAAGCCTCCCTGCCGCCTGGAGAAGAGGCGCTGGTGCGGGGGCGGCGTGGGACATTCCAGAGCCGGGAGGGAAAGCAGGCAAGGTCCGCCGCTCGCCCTTCCCCTGGACTCTTTGCCACCCGGGGCACTCCAAGCGTTTTCAGCCCCACAAAGCCCGGCCCAGCCCCAGCCGCTTACCTTCCAGCAGGCGCGCGATGATGGAATCTAAATTGAGCTTCTCGCCGTCCGACATGGCGTCGTAAGAAGCTGCAATCGCCTGGTTCCTTGCTTCCTTCCCCCTCGGCGCGCCCCCCTCCCGCCCCGCTCGGTGGTCCTAAGCAAGCAAGAGGAAGGGAAAGGCCGGCTTTCTTTTCCTCTTTCTTGCCAGGGAGTTTCCTCCTCCTCCTCCTCCGAAAGCCACCCGCAGAAAAGGAAGCCGCGAGAGCCTATAGGCCCCGTCCTCTGCCGCCACCACCACCTACAGGCTGGAGGGATCAACACGAGGCTTCTCTTGCGATTGCGCGAGCTTTGGCGGATCCCAGGAAAAAGGAGGAGGAAGAAGAGGGGGAGGGGGAGATGGTTGCGGCGAGAGGCTTCTGGGAACTGTGGTGCTTTCTTCACACTGGTCCCAGTAGAGTGGGAAGAAGCAGCTGGGTGGGCAGATATAGGGACCCACAGCGCTTTGAAAAAGTACTTTTCGCTAATTCATTTCCCTAAGAACTGGTAGCTATTATATGCACCAGAAAGAGAGAGAAAACAGAGTAGAAAAAATGGCTATTTGTCTTAAAAGATATCCAAGGCAAAATTTCTAAGGTAGGTAAATTGAGGACCCAGTTTGTGGGGGCAATAAGCTGACTTTGTATAAATATACAAAAAGTATGAAGGCTATTGCTTAACGCATTGTAAGCCGCCCTGAGTCTCCGGAGAAGGGCGGCATATAAATCAAATTAAAAAAAAAATCCTATGGAAGCTGAATTTAAAAACCAACTCTAAGTGGTCTCTCCAAGTGCTCATCTTCATGGCCGTCTTGCCTGCTAGCAGAAGCTCCGTCTTGATGCCAGCCTGCTGCTGCAGAAGGCTAATGTCGGAGCACCTCTGACCGCCAGGAAAGTGGTATTTCATCTTCCCAAACAGAGCAAGCCTTTCGAAAGGAACGGTCCAAGTGGGCAACCAGCAGGTCCAGTTGCCCTGTTGCAGGGCTGCCCCCTCGGTTCAGCCACTGGGCTTGTATCCCCATGGCCATTTCTGCCTTGGCTGCCAGAGAGACCTGAGCCCTGCTCAGCAAGCAGTTTTCTTCTTTTCTTGGGACAGGAATATCAACCCTGTGGAATACCTTGCCTTGGGTCACAATTTCTTTAGGTAAACCTTCATGCAGCAGGTCACTTGCTCTCACCATTCCAGGCTTGACCAGCTTTGCCTTCCCCAGGCCAAACTGTTGCTGCACTTTGTCTTCTCTGCTGGCTGCTGCCTGCTTTTCTCCCTGCCTCAAGCAAGCAGATTCTTTGCCTTCCCTACGCCTTGCCCCTTTGCTGTCCCTTCCCTTTCTGTTGGAGAGAGCCATCAACCTCCCCTGAGTTTGTGCCGTAGAGTAAGGCAAGGCTATGTGAGTAAATAGTTGTGACTAGTGTGAAGATCCAGTCAAAGTGGTTGGTTTATATTTCATCTTATAAAAGACTGGCAATTAAATCAATTCACTAAACCATGTGTAGGAAGTTGGCACCCACCACTCTCCTAGGAAAATGAAATATTCTAGGAAATATTAAAAAGGCAGAATATTATATTTCCCTGGATGAGAAATGGAGAAACATGTTTTTTTAGGCAGGAAGCAGACTCACTCTTAAAAGCCCCCATCATCCTCAATAGCCCACAGCAGATGTCCACACTTAAGAGATAAAGAGATAGCTAGGTCTATTCAGTGGTGGGATTCAAGTAATTTAACAACAGGTTCTCTGCCCTAATGATTTGTTCCAACAACCAATTTGCCAAACTGCTCAGAAAGTGGTGTGAACTGACTGAATCTCACCACTGGGTCTATTCATAGGCAAATGCCCTCACCCAAGATCCAACAAAGGTAGGATTAGCCCTCTACCCATTTAGCAACAGAACTCACCACATGGCACCTGGGAAGATTACATCACCCACCAAGGCTCAGCCAAGCTTGGGACTCAGGACAGCCTACAGAGTTGCCCCTGCATGGCCCTATGGGAGTCTGACAACCAATCAGAATACAAGCTCAAATTCAAAGCCCAACGGGGGGCATAAAACCAAGGCATTCTCAGCATCTCTGCCCTTTTTCTGCTCAGGAACTCAGGAAGCCATGTGATCCTGTTCATCAATAAACTTCTTTCCAAGCAACTTCCATGAATCCAATGTTTTTCCCCCCACTTGGAACTGAACCCAGAAGGATATTTCTTCCAACACCATGATTCTGTACAGTATCAGTATGTTGTAAAAACACAGCTTTACATCTCTTATGCTACATTTTTCTACATTCATGTTTGTTCTTTCCAATTCAAAAGACAGATGAAACTTTTCAGTACCACACCTTGGGATGAGTCAAACAAACTGCAGAGGTACAGTTGAGCCAATTACAGTTGCTAATACACTACCTTGTATACAGTCACTAAAGAATTTAGTGATAAAATTCCTATATGGCAACCTTTCAGTTGTTTAGGAATTTGTGAAATCTGCATTTAAATATATATACCAATGACTCATGAACTTTTTCATCCTTTGCATATGCTGAGTTTAGGAACCCATCATTACCATGGCTGGATGTGTGTTAATATCTACTGCCATTTAGAATATATACATTTGAAATGAAACTGGATTTGTTGACTTATTCTTACATAATCAGAAACACACATTTACCCCAACTCTTGTGAATAACAAAGAACAATCATGATTCTCACGTAATCACCTGTATCTTCAAGGAAGTACAACGTGTCTTCTTGAGACAACTATCCAACAACAACAAAGAGTAGTCATTCATGATCTAGATCTTGTTGAGCAACCAGCATCTGTAATGAAAAGAGTTTAAGCATAGAAAGTTTGCAGCTATTCCAGCGTCTTCCAGGGTACTCTGCTGATACGTGCTTGCACGTTTGGAGAGTCAGTCTAGTTCAAAGTATGACACAGATTTATTGAGGCTATAAATTAGCATCATCCATTTATAAATTTGATCGTTAATCTGAGTGATTTCCAGCACATCTGGGAGTCATATAAACTTATTTTGACTTAACTCCAAATAATGCAACTCAAGTGGACCTAAGAAATGTAGTCTTTGGAGAATTTTCATGTATATGATGACTATTGTAATAGATCGGTCATACTGGTAGCATTTTATCTCTGCCTAAATTATGCCTTAGGAACAACACGTTGAGTAATGGTTCTAGCGCAGGGGTGGTATTTACTTACCTTTGCTACCAGTTCGCAAATGTGAGCACTCATGCGTGCCTACTCCACACATGTGCAGAGCCTTAGGTCAAAAATGGAATATGATGATGTCCGGATGGGTGGGCGGAGCCTCCCTCCGCTGGCGCTACCAGATTGCGTGATCCGGATAGAATCAGCTGAATTTCACCACTGTCCTAGTGTCATCCTAAGAGGATGGAAGGTCCAGTTCAAATAACCACTTAATGAAATCACTGCATAATTTTGAACCAATAATTCTTTCTCTGTAGGGATAAAATGCCCTGGAGAGAACTGCGTCTACTCTTTTAGACTTTGTGGACAGAAGGCAAACTCTAGATCAGGAGTGTCAAACTCGTGGTATCACGTTGTCACGTGACATATTGCAGCTTTTTTTCTCCTTCACTAAAACGGGTGGGCCAGCGCGGGAAGCATCTGGCCTGCGGGCTGCGAGTTTGACACTCCTGCTCTAGATTAAAAAAAAACAATTATTTATTGGTTCGATTTATATGCCGCCCTTCTCCGGAGACTCAGGGCAGCTTACAATGCGTTAAGCAATAGCCTTCATACTTTTGTATATACCTGCTTAGTAGGGCTTTCGGCCTAAGTGGTGTTCTTTTTTTATACAAAGTCAGCTTATTGCCCCCACAATCCGGGTCCTCATTTTACCTACCTCGGAAGGATGGAAGGCTGAGTCAACCTTGAGCCTGGTGAGATTTGAACTTGCAGTAATTGCAGGCAGTTGGCAGCTAAGTGCTACTTAATAGCACTTAGTCTGCTGCGCCACCAAGGCTCCTTTTATTCTTTTATTCATAACAGATGGGATAATAAAAATGCCAGCAATAGTAAGTATTGTTGCAGGAACCAATCTGGATCGGTCACCTGGACCAGAGGTTTTGTCTTCCGAGCTTTTGGACCAGTAGTGGGTTTCAAAATTTTTTACTACTGGTTCTGTGGGCATGGCTTGGTGAGCGTGGCTTGGTGGGCATGGCAGGGGAAGGTTACTGCAAAATCCCCATTTCCTCCCAATCAGCTGGGACTTGGGAGGCAGAGAATAGATGGGGTTGTGGCCAGTCAGAATTTTTACTACCAGTACCAATCCGAACTACTCAAAATTTCCGCTACTGGTTCTCCAGAACTGGTCAGAACCTGCTGAAACCCACCTCTGTTTTGGACTCGTGCTGGAGCCCATCTTCAGGGAACTTCTCTCTAGCCTAAAGTTCCCCGAGGATCAGCTTTAGCACAACTCCAAGAATTTGGAAGACAACATCTCTGGTCTTGGTGACTGACCAGATTGGATCCTGCAACATTATCCTGGGACACATATATTCACATTCCTTAGTAAGTATTGTAATGAAGGTAACTCCTGGCCCAGCACCATAGTTTTGCTCCTATAGGGAAGGGGCATCTCTTGGGGATGTACTCGCAATTTTATTTTTACTTTGCAAGAGAGCAATTGAGTGCCTCCCTTCCCTTCCTCTGTGCCCTTCCATCTTTTCTTGTTCTCCACCCCTTTGCCTTGCTCATTTCGTAGTGCTATGTATTACATCAGGAAATGGTTTTGGGAGGAAATAGCTTGCAGAACCTGTGAGGAACTCTAGTCATAACAGTAGGGGTACATTCATAGAGGCAGTCTTCTCTTCAGAAGTTGCTGAGCCAAGGGCCTGCATTCAACATGAGATAAATCACAAAATTGACGGTTTCAGTTGATTCAAAGGACTTGAATGGTAGGCAAGAATGTCAGATCCTTCTCTGTCAGATGATAATATAAGCCAAGCTATGGCGGAACTACCAGATGCCTTTGATTTCTGCTTGCGTGATGATGCCAGCTCTCTGGGCTCCGACTCTGAGGTGAATGGCATAGCTCCCTATCGCAAGACGGATCGCTATGGCTTTATTGGAGGAAGTGGCCTCCATAATGGGTAAGAGGCAGCTTCTACTCCACAGGTCGCTGGAAGGGTGCGGAATGAGGGGATGGACCTTTGCTGGACAGAGGAATGACGCTCAAAGGAAAAATGGCATTGAGCTTTACTGTAGACAAATGGATGAAATCTCTTTTCAAGCTAGTAGAAACATTTCATATTCTCAGCTACTCCTTTCTGAGTTCTTTTTATTTCTGACTGCTTCACTTTGCAGAAATAATTTTCATAGGTATCAGATTGTTTTGTTTTCACCTGACTGGCTGCATTAATAGATGCTGAAAATAATATTTCTAATCATTAGAAATAAGGTGCCATTTCCGAAGAACTTCGTAAAGAAAGATACTTAGCAGATGGGGATGAAATACTGAAAGGCCATAAATATGTCTTGCTTTAAGGTAATTTTCCAAGATGTATTATTTACTTCAAATGTGGCAAGGCAGAAGGGAAGTATATAAATAATTATCCAACCCTATTCTACCCTGTTGTTAGGTATTTTTAGGCTAATATCTTCCAGGGAAGGCCCTTTTTTTTCAACTTCTCTTTTGGAGGAAGCAAGCTGTGTTGAATTAGTGCCCTCTGGCCCATTCTTCTAAATGACTATCTCTAGATTTCTTTCTCAAAATCTGTTGTGGTGTCAGAATCTCTTTGTAATTTTCTGGTAATGCCTTAGGAGACTGCCCCCAATAAAATAACAATTTAAAATTAGAGGTGAAAATTATTTTGCTTTTTTTTTATTTAATTTAGCTAGTATTAAAGGAGATAATTATTATAAAATGAAAAGCCCTATAGATTAGGGTAGCGTTCCCCAAGAAGCAGCCAGGTATTTTAGATTTAAATTCAAGTCTTCAATTAGGAACAGCTGGCCAGAATGGAAAAGTATCACAAAATTGTGGCTATTTGGCATTATTCTGACAGAGGCTAAAGGGGTTACAATCCTAGTTTCAAGTTTGTGGATCTGAATCTATTCCCTTTTGCTAGCTTTATGGTCATAATAGATGGGTGTTCTGTGAACATTAATCCTCATGTATTTGGAAGATATCAATTTGGAGCAGGCTGATGTAAAAAGACTTGAGGCTTGATGAACTAAATTCATACACACCAAAAGAGGCATTTAGTCAAGTCAGAGAGATCCAGGCACATAAGATAAAGGTATTCACCTGCATTCTTATCAGTGGAGCACATGCTTCTATCTGTTTGTAACTCAGATGCGACTTGCTGGATGAGGATGATAGGAACTAATTTTCCTCCCAAGGAAAACAGGCAATACAGGTAGTCCTCCACTTACAACATTTAGTAACCAAATTACAACAGCACTGAAAAAAGTAACTTATGACCATTTTCCACACTTACAACTTTGAGGTATCCCCATGATCATGTGATCAAAATTCAGATGCTTGGCAATTGGTTCATACTTATGACCGTTGCTGTGTCCAAGGTCATGCAATCACTTTTTGCAACCTTCTGACAAGCAAAATCAATGGAAGATCACCTAACATCTATATTAAATTATCAAGTGCAGTGATTCACTTAACAACTGTGGCAAGAAAAGTAGTAAAATAGGGCAAAAGTAAGTAAAATCACTTAACTAATGCCTCACTTAACAACAGAAATTGGGGGCTCAATTGTGGTCATAAGTTGAGGACTACCTGTACAGTATACAGATAACATACGGTAGTTATCAACTCATTTTGGAGGACAATAATTCTTAACTTTTTGTTTCTCAGATTTTGCCAATCATTTTATCCAATAACTTTGATGCTACCATGACAGAACTGCCCACCTAGTGTATCTACAATATATATCAGCAGGCATTCTATTGTTACAGTAAGATTAAAAAACTTAATATTTCAATGACTAACTCTATGTCCCACCCAGGGATGGGTTCTACTTACCTTTACTACCGGTTTGTAGCGGGGCCGCAAGGCAGAAGCTTCTGCACATATGCAGAAGCATTTTGATGACATCAGGGTCGGTGGGCGGAGCCTCCTGCCAGTTTTACTACCAGTTCTATAGAATCAGTACGAACTGGGGGTAATCCACCACTGGTCCCACCTAGATAACTTTCTGTAGCGCATATGTGGCAGATGTGCAATTGATTGTACACCGTGTTTTAGAATTGATTTCCTTTACACATGAATGCTACCAATCATGTTACTTATGAATATCTATACAGGCTTGGTCCTGATTAGTACTTGGGAGACAACAGGTAATACCAGGATAGTAGGGTAGACAGAGTAAATCATAGATCTATCCCAGAATAAGACAATGGCAAACTTCTATACCAATGTCAAGAAAACTGCATGGGAAATCACCAGGAGTTGAGTTTGAATCAGAGACAACTTTATTTATTGGATACAGTATGGTTAAATTGTCTCTGTGCTGCATCATATTTCAGTGGCTAAATGACAGTTATAAGTATAAGTATAAATTTATTGTCATATACACAGTATACCCATACAACAATTTTTTAAAGTATTTTTAATATTTTTTTTATATTTTATCTTTTGAACCTGCATCACTTTAAACAATTTTATTTCAAAGTGTACTGCAATATATATATATATATATCTTAAGATATATATATATCTTAATCCTTGTATTTCTGGTGAATCTAAAATTGTTACCACTTCAGGAAATCTTAAGGTTACAGTATGGAATTAATTAACCCTTGGTCTATTTGGAATCAGCAATGTTCTATTCAACAATTAACCCTTCAGGTTCAGTTGTGGAATGGAATGGACCCAGCTATAAATGTTTCTGAGATTCTCAGTCATCCAGGTCATGGTTGTCCCAAATGTGCTTTTCAAAAGGCAACTGGACTTTCTTGGTTTTCTTCCTTGAAAACATTTTGCTTCTCATCCAAAAAGCTTCTTCAATTCTGGCTGAATGGTGGAGAATGGAAGGATTTATATTCCTCAGCAGTCATCTGGTTGTTAGCATTCTGAATGTCAGTCATTAGCTCTCTGAGAGTCATTGAGGCCACTTGGGGGTTTACCTGTACCCTCCAATGTTTGTGGAACCTTTCTGGCACAGTCCCAAGATGAGAAGTGAAACATAAATGTTTCAGTGGCAGCATATCAAGAATGGATACACTGAGATTCAAAGAGCTGCAGACATCCAATCACCTTTCTTGTAGAACTTGGACATTTTTTAATCACAATTGCCAAAAACTGGTGGCAAGGTTCCCTGTCATCTTGAAATAGAATTGCAATAAAACTCTAAAATTGGCTTAATATCAGGATAGGGACAAATTCTCTCCAGGAATCTTAAAAATGAGTGAACTGTTGCCCAAATTAGGTGATACTGTTGTTCCTACATTCTCAAAAACTTTAAATGTATATGATGACTCATCAATGTGATAAAAAAATATCTTTAAAATATACTTAAAGGACCCATTTTCCCCCTTTCCTGTTGATTGATAATTTTAAATCACTAAAAAACACCATTGTTGTATAATTGGTCTATAATTGTAGCTTGCTGTAATTGGAGTAGGTCAAATATGTAGAGGTGGTAAATGTTTGGGTTTTTTTTTTTTTTTTTTTTTTTTGGCACCCTCTCATTGTTGATTACAGGTTAGAATTGGCCTAGGTCCTAGTAGATAGAAATAATTTTGTAATAACCATGTATACCTCCTGCCCTTCTACAGATATTATCTATTTTATCCTTGTAATAGAAGGCAGTTGGAGTACTCTGTCTGGATAATGGTCATTGTATATATTGTATATATAAATGATGCACTACATTCCTATTAGATTTGCTGAATCAAAATAAAATCTGAATTGTCATTCATCATAGTCTGTTTAAATGCTAGTATGTGTTAAGATGACAGTCTGTGCACCAGTAATGGGGAACCTATGCCACATATGTCAAAGGTGACATGGGCCTTCACCAATACCCGATAACTATTTTTGAAAGATGCCTCATTCTCATATGATTTTCTCATGGCTCATGCGAAGGCAGCACAAGAATGGGGTATGGTCTTGCATTACCTACAGGCCGCCTGGAAGTTGCGTGAGGGGACCATGCTCTTCTATAGAGCCTCCAAAACTCATGCAAGAATGGGATGTACTTTTGCATGGCTTTCAGAGGCTTTTCAGGGTTGCCTGGATTTAGGGAGATAGAGAATTATTTCTCTTTGGTGTGTGTGTGTGTGAGTGCCATGTGAGCAGAGTCAAATTAGGCATTTTCTGAATTTTTTATACACCAAGCCCAAAGAGTTTGTTATCATTGCTATACAATCCCTAACACCCTAGTCCTAGTCCTAACCTAACCTAGTCCTAACACCCTTAGCTGGGGAAGACAAGCCTCTCTACTCCAACATAAGTGTCCATGTGGCCAGCCAGTCAGTAGACTCACGAGAGACTTGCAAGCAGGAGTTATTAGAACACTCTTAACAATGAAGTTCAGATCAAGATAATTTGTAATGTCAAAGAGGGCCTGAGTGGAAAATATCTTTGCCTACCTATTAACTAACATTTCCTGTTTTAGCAATGTAGCTCAGCCACATCCTCTCACCGTATCTATGACAACCTGTGCATCCTGAAAATACACGTTGTGGTTAGGGTGGCTATTGAGTGTGTTTTCTTGAGTTTTTGGTCTACATGACTTTGGAAGGCTGAATTCAACACATTTATATTAATTCTTCTTAGCCATACTACAGAAGAAATTCTCATCAGTTTTAATCCATTTCAGCTTTCAAGACTTCCTGCAAAGAATTGTGAAACCAGTGTCTGACGAAATGCAGACAACCATTTAGAGAACTCTAAGCTTCTTCCTAACTGCAAATCTATTATTTTCAGAGCTCCTGAAGAAGAAAATGTGTGTGTGTGTCGCGTGTATGTTGCGTGTCTTGAGATAATGAAGATGGGACCATATAAGCCATGATGACCCACAGCAAGCAGCAAGGAATTGATGTGGACACTCTTAACAGTGATATATAGATTAAGATTGTCTTTAATGTGAGAAGAGCTACTGAAACATCTCTCTCTCTCTCACACACACACACACACACACATACACACACACACCCTTCTTGGCAGCCACTGGAATTTTCTCAAGATCATCCTATTGAGCTTATGAGAGCAGGATTTTCTGTACTTGAGATGAAGATAAGCAGTGAATCATGGTGAAAATAAGCAGTAAATGGAGATTTTTAAATTCCTGATGCTCCTGTTTTAGTGTCCTTTTCTAAAAACTATTTTTGAAGACTCCTACCTTCCAGAGACAAGATATATCACCATTGTTTCCCCTCGTCTTACAGGCTGAAAAAAATTAAAGTGGGGGGAGGGAGAGAGAAAAGAGGCATGATTTCCAACTATAAAATGATTCTTGCTTCAGGTTGGTGCAAAACATACCAAGGGGAAAAAACTCATTATAGGCATGATTAATTTCTTGTAATACCTTCATAGGCATAAATGGGAAGGGAGATAAATAAGATTAAAATGACCCCCTTTTAAGAATAGAATAGAATAGAATAGAATAGAATAGAATAGAATAGAATAGAATAGAATAGAATAGAATAGAATAGAATAGAATAGAATAGGAATATTGGCCAAGTGCGATTAGACACGCAAGGATTTTGTCTCTCAGTGCAGGGGTGAAATCCAGCAGGTTCTTACAGGTTCTGGAGAACCGGTAGTTGAAATTTTGAGCAGTTCAGAGAACTGGCAATACCACCTCTAGCTGGCCCCAGAATGGGTGGGGATAGAGATTTTGCAATATCCTTCCCCCAGGAGTGGGGAGGGAATGAGGATTTTGCAATATCCTTCCCCTGCCATGCCCACCAAGCCACACCACGCCCACCAAGCCACACCCACAGAACCAGTAGTAAAAAAAATTGGATTTCACCATTGTCTCAGTGTACATGCAAAGCAGCATAATAATAATAATCATAGTAATAATAATACCAATAAGAGGCGGTAGTAAAGAAGATAAGAAGGATAACAATACTACAGTTATACTACATGAGTAATATACATGAGAATTAGATGTTCAGCAGAGTGATCTCTGAATAGATGTTCTGGCATGCAATTCCCCATGGTGGCATCCTGAGGGGAGGCATTGAAACAGTTTATGTCCAGGATGTGAGGGGTCTGTAGATATTTTCTCAGCCTTCCTTTTGACCTGCGCAATATACAAGTCTTCTATGGAAGGCAGGCTGGTTGCAATGGTTCTTTCTGTAATCTTAACTATCCATTGGATAGTCATGTTTGGTTGCTGTACCAAACCAGACAGTATGTATTTTTAATATTTTAATATGCATTACACCCATCACATGCATGTAAAAAAGAGGTGGGGCTTTAATCATTCAGTTCTGCTCACCATTTTGATACTGTTGAACCCACCCCAGATATGCCTCACACTTGCTTCAATTCTGTCAGCAAGCTCGAAAGTCATTTAAAATGCAACCATCAACTGGATTCTGTCTTGTTATCTGAATTCCCAAGATGTTGAGGAAGGGAAGTCATGCTACATTTCATTTCTGGAGAAAAAGAGAGATCACTTTTAATGAAATACTGTTTCTGAGCAAAAGATCTGTACTGTTCAGTCTAGCCAAGACCCAAGCACTGGATCCTGTAGTGATTCAGTTCTTCCCTGACTTCTGGTATGCAGCTATTCTAGTATTCCAACACCTATCAGCACTAAAAAAAATAAATGATGGCTTGGTCAACATTGACTCTAAATCAATCCCACAAAGGCAAGAAAAGCCAAAGACAGGGTATAATTCTATTGTATTTATAATAGGGAAGAATAATCTAAATAGACACCGTTCCCAAACTGTATTTATGATCTACTGTACCATTTTCCCAAAGAACTCGGGATAATTTCATTTTATCTTTAGTGTCGGGATTAATAATCTATGCTAAACTACAGATAAGCAAATCGCTTGGGGCTTTGTGCATCATAGGAACTCATCTCAGAAGCTGAGGTCATAGCAGAAAAGGAGTACAGCCCTCTGACTCAGAGAACAACTTCCTCACCCTTTCCGGTTGCAGAGCATTTTGTGCGCATATATGTGCTTCATATTAAAGATGCTTGAACTTGGCTCATTAAAAGGCAGACTGAAGATCACACCCCCTCTGTTGGATGGTTCTTACTGGATAAATCTCTGCCTCTTTCTCTCTTTCCCATTGTAATTGCCTCACTACTATTTCTGCTGCTCCATGTGCAACTTCCTATCAGAACAATGTGGCAACAGGAGTGGGGCTCCAGATCCTCCCCCAGAAACCACTGCCTTTGGGCTGAAGAAGGTTCCAGCAAGGACTTTTCTTTCTTTTTTAATCAACTGCTCCTTTTCTGCAGAAAAAAAAGGAAGCTTTTTATGAAATTAACATGTCTTTTCAGCTGAAATCAATATTTTCAATACCTCCTCCTGACACAATTTATTTCAATATAGTCAACATTTGTGTCCTACCTGAATATAATTTCTTAAATAACTTCAAGATAAATATTTACTGCTATTAGCCTACAAATGGTAGATTTATTCAAAAGTAACTCTTTCAATGTACCTTTTAGTCATATAGCAATAGCACTTAGACTTACATACACATATCGTGTTATTCAATTGTTGTTAGTTTCGTAGCATTGTTTTGTCAATCAAAAATTAGCACTTTGTATCTCTAGAATTTTTGTTTTATGGAGCACAATGAATTTGAGATCTGTATTTGTAGATTTACTATTGGGTATTTGTTTTGTTTTGTCTCTTATGATCAAAAACATTTGGCCTGTTAGCCAATCTACTATTAACTCTTTTTGCAACGTTTGATTGAAATGATTTTCAAGATGTGGATGTAAAATGGACATAGGTTTGGGCCAAAATCAATGAAATTCATCTTTTCCTGATGCACTCCAATTCTTAATTTCTTAGTTTGTTCTATTACAATTTTTGCTGCTGCTACAATATTTTCCATTTCTTCAGATTTTGCTTGGTTTTCTATTTCAGATATCCATGTCGATTGTATTGCTTTTTCAAACATGTATCCCCCCCCCTCATGTTTAAGAAAAAAACTTAAGAAAAGTTCTGGCTTCAACTGAATATTAATTTTGTAAAATCCTCTGTAACATTGTAGATATTTGAATCCAACATTTTTTAGCTTTTTTGCAGGTCCACTAAGCATGATAAAATATCCCTTCATTTTGTGCACTTTTCCAACATCCATTGGAAAGCTCTTTATACATTCTAAATGGTTCCTGACATCATGTACCAATGATACATCATTTTATAAGAATTTTCTTCAAGATCGTAACATAGTGTAAATTTCAACCCCCTTTATCACATATTTTTGACAGGGATTTCCCTGGGCAGCACTGCCCTGATTCATCCTGGAAAGCATAGTTCAGAAAGAGAGAGGGCATTATGGGGGAATATGTAATGGAGAACCAGGATTGTTCTGCTGAAGTAAACTGGTGGAGGAATGGAAATTGCTCAATAGAAAGAATAAGGCATCTACAAATGCAATGTCTCCATATTAACCTATTTATGTTTTAAATTGTGTGTTTGTGTGTGTGCCTGTATGGTGATAATCATAGAACTGTTTAGATGGAAGGTTATGCACAGAAGAAGCACATATTTTTAACCTAAGGAATAGCCAGTTTCAATCTGGATTTTTGTCAAGGGGAAAAGGGATGCATTTTCAGAGGATAATCAACAGGCAAAATCAATACTTCCGTAGCTTACACTTCAAGCAGGTATTGAATTAATATTTCAAACCATATTTTCTCCTCAGCGAGCCTCTGTATCCTCTATAGCAGAGGTGGGGATGGCCCCTTTATGATTTGCGGACTTCAACTCCCAGAATTCAAAAACAGACTCTATAGGAATGGACGCGGGAAAGTACAATGGGGAACATTATAACCTTATAGGAAATTTAGAGAGGGGCCCTAAGTTTTGCTTTTCTCTTCTCATATGCAGCCAAGATCATCTCCCTGTTGTGCTCATCCGACACCGTGAAACCAAATGGCTGGAAATGACAGCTCACTGGGAGAAAACCATGGCACGGCGCTACAGGAAGGTAAGAAGGAATCTAGCATTGTTTCTTTAAATGGTGATTTGAGCACATCTTTTCATCAAAGTCTTAAGTGAACCCTATTATAATCTCAAACGATGTTCAAAAAGTAATGTGCATTTGACATATTGTATCAAATGGCAATTTGTTTAACCATGATTTATTAAATAAATAGCAAATGGTTAACTTCATAGAACAAAGTCTACTCTAGACCAAATATATTATACTGCGAGATGGCATAATATCTGAAACTTATCAGCAGCTTTCTCTTATCTCTCTTTTGCACATACCAACCCCAAACAGTAACAGTCCAAATAGAACAATATAGATAGAAAGAATTCCAAGATGCCAAGTTTTTGTATCCAAAGGTTGCAGTTTCCTTGAAATATTAATATTCCAGGTTCCAGTGCAATTAATATTTGCAAATCCAATGCAGCATAAACTGATATTAAATTAAAGACCTGATGTTAAAAGCCCAGGAAAAAACACCCGAAAAGATTTTTTCATGAAGCCAAAAGGACAGAAGTTGGGAAGACCATTCTAACAATTAGATACTAAAACTGAGAAGTCTTCTTCCTGCATCAACCTTATCTCAGAAGGGCATGAATTACTCCAAGATTGTTTTCCAAAGGCCTATGAGCAAGTTCACATGAAAGATGAGTAATCCTTTTTGGCACCAAAGACTTTTTAACATTATGAGGCTGTTGAATTCCTCATAATATTAATTGGATTGTGAAACTTCGCATTTGCTTTTAATTCTTTTTAATTTTGTCTTAATTTTATGGGTTGCCTTTATACTATTTAATATTGTGATCCTAAAATCAATACAAGGATCCAGATCTTTATCAAGCCTACCTAAGTTTATATAATACTTTTGAGATTAACCTACTAAAGATATTGCCCTAATATAATTTCTGGAACTTTTTGTGTGACCAACATGGCTTGGTATTTAGTAAGTTCTCTTGGGAAGCAGTTGAAAAAAAAACTAAGCAATAAAACTCTAAAGGCAAGCAATGAGAGAGCGAGACAGAGAGAGAGAGAGAGACAGACAGACAGACAGACAGACAGACAGACAGACATAAACAGAGAGAGAGACATAAACAGAGAGAGAGACAGAGAGAGAGTCCAAGAGAGGGGGGGAAATGTAGGTAAGTATATGGATGATAAAGAATAAGTTATGTTCACTTATGGAAGCCATGATGTCTTGAACATTTACTAAGAAAATGAAAATACAAACAGCAGGCTGCCATAAAGCTAATTTTTTACACCAATAGATATATTGTTTTCTAGATATTGTTGGTTGCAATCCCACTATCTTTAATCGCTGGCCATTTGGGCTGCAGCAGGGAACAGTTCAGCAACATCCATTGGACCATTGGCATCTATATGCTACTACTCCATGCTGTAGTATGAAGCCAACCAGAAAGGGCTAGATTGGTGATATGCATGCCAATGATACCCTCATCTTTGTGAGCGCTGAGCTTCAGCTTCCCATTCAATCCATTATTGGTTCACACATCAATTCAGTCTTTGTAGTATTGCCTCAACTGAAACAGCTAAAGAAGAAATAGAGTTAGAGTTTCTGATGATGGTCCATCACTGTTTAAAATTCCCTGGCAATCACCACAGTTTTAGCTAGATGTTTTTAAAAATGGAGAAAAAGCTGAATCTTGCCTGGTGTCTGTGGCATGAATCTTGGCTAGCTATAGAAACAAAGGGTATTGGGATTCTTTACGGGAGTGGGTCCTACACAGGATCATTGTGCACTTAGTTTATATGGTTTATAACAATACAGGTGAAGCTGCTGTGCCGAAAAGGAATCCCTTCCTCTTTACGTGCACGCTGTTGGCCTCTGTTGTGTGGAGGACAGGTCAAAATGGAGAGGAGGCCTGGAAAGTACCAGGTAAGCCTGGATTTTATAGAACTTATTCTAGCCTTTCAGACACAAGATATTCCACATGCGTTAAAAGGGTTTGCGTTAGAAATGTTCTATTATCCTCAGCCAACAGGACAACCACCTCTTCTGCTATTGCACTAATCCTTTCCATCTGTGCCCTTATATCAATTAATTGGCAAACCAACCACGCATTCTTCCTGACTTATATTTCCTCTTCAGTTGATTATTTGAATATTTACATTAAGACACGAGGCCTGCTTCTTATAGTATAGCATCTCTAACAAAGGTATGGCAAGAACATTTCTTTAAATTGAGGAATACTTTGAAATGCAATCCTATGGACATTTAAGAGGGAGTAAGTGTAACCTTTGGACTTACTTCCATGTTAAGTATGCATAAGACTGGACTGTTAATTTTGCTTTTCATTTGTGTCAGAACACAATTTAGTTTTACTATTATTGACTCATTTGTAATATCTATTAACTGAAAAATATTGTGCTTTCAGCAAAAAAAAATGTTTTCAAGGCAACAATATGCAGTTAAACCAATTGAAATGTATGCAGAATAATATAATTACAAAACTAAAAACCTAAGGTGGTGCTTTTAAGCAAATATAGAATGGTACAAGTAAACCAAAGTAGTTGAAATCTATTTAGATTATGTGCCATTAAGTTCATTACAAATATTAGTAGTATCACAGATGGACCTTCTCCAGGTTGATCTCTCCCATCCCAGCCCTTTATGTGTTTTTGGGTTGTAAACCCATTGGCTTTATAGTCAAGTATAGTGTAGCCTTTATTGTCATTGCACATCATATATACAACAAAATTGGTTTAGCCTCTCTTGTGCAATCCATAACAGAAAATACAAAACAACATAAATAGTATAGAGAATAATTCCTACACAAATAATTGGGGAAAAAAGACTAGTCATACATTTCCTTATGTGCGTGGAGTGATTGTGATTATGTTTAAGAGTCTGACAGCCTATGGGTAGAAGCTGTTTTTAAACCTGTTTGTCTGGCTGGCTATGCTTCGATGTCTTTTGCCCAATGGCAGAAGCTAAAAGAGACACTGGCCAGGGTGTGAATCATCCCTAAGTATCTTCTTTACTCTGCTGAAACAGAGAGACTTGGTGATGTCATCTAGTGGTGTTAGAGGGCAACCGATGGTTTCTGAACACTCTCTGTAGTGCCTTCCTGTCCACAGCTGTTAGACCAGCATACCATGCTGTTATACAGTATGTGAGGACATCCATTTTGTTTCTAATCCTTCTCTGCTTCTCTTTCCTTCCATCTCTCCGAGTATTATGGATTTCTCAAGGGAACTCTGTCTATGTACAATGTGTTCAAAATGTGACAATTTGAGCCTATTCATGGGTCTTGAGTGAAAGCTCTGTATTGTTTGATGAGCCATTTGTTTATTTCCTTGGTTATCCATGTCATTCTCAAGAATTCAAAAACATGGTTTTATTTCTTCAAAAATCAATTTTCGCTTCCATAGAGTACCACATGGAAAACTATTGTCTGCAAAGTTTCTGATCTTTATGGCCGTAGATATATCACATCTAAACATTCATTTGTACCCTACCAAGAGGTAATATTTCTTGATTGCTGGTTTCTTTTTGTTCTGTAACTGATCCTAATAGGCAAAAGTTATCCACTTCTGCAGTGTCATTTCTACAGCTGGTCGCTGAACCTGTTATTATTGCATTGATTTGGTCTGTTTTATATTTAATAGGCCTATTTTTTTACACTGTGCTCCTGGCCACATATTTGCTTTTACCGTGTAACTGAGCCCTTGCACTTCCTTGTACCAATAATATAATCAATTTTATTTCTATGCCCTCCATCTGGTAATATATAGACATCATTTTTAAAGACTGTGTTTGCAGTAAAGGAGTCACTGAATTGACAGAGACTGATAAATCATTCTCCTGCTTCATTTCGGTTTCTTAGGCCATACAGTTCAACTACATTTTCCTCCTTACTATTTTCAGTTGCGGCATTCCGGTCTCCAACCATGTTTTGCTGGCATGATTTTCAATTTTAGATTGAAACTGACCATAAAACCCATCAATTTCTTCATCATGTGCTATGTTTCGGAGGATAAAGTTGGATAACTGTTATTTTAAAGAGTTGCCCATTGCTTTTATTGATATTGCTTTTATTTGATTACATTGATCTTAATATTACTTGATTTTTGCTGTATCCTTCCTGACTATAATAGCAACCTCATCCCTTCCTTGTTTTTTATATCTTGTAGTTAACAATATGAGTTTTTGGCTGAAAGTGTTTAATTCCAATCTATTTCAATTAGCTGATGCAGAAGATGTGAACATGCAGTCCATTTTGACTTTCATTTTTCTGTTGTCATGCTTTTTACATTTTGTGTTGCAAAGTACAGTAATTCTGTCTTTCAGCTTTTGATTTTTTCCCCCCTGCATGTCAACATCAGCAACTAGATGTCTGGAAGGATTTAATTTCGCTGGCTATTGGGGGCGAGTCATTGACCCCCACAGAGGGGGCTCGCAACTTGGGTGTCCTCCTGGATACACGGCTGTCTTTAGAAGAGCATATGACGGCTGTGGCCAGGGGGGCTTTTTATCAGGTTCACCTGATACGCCAGTTGCGCCCCTTTCTGGATCGGGACTCCTTGTGCACGGTCACTCATGCCCTGGTCACATCACGCCTGGACTACTGCAACGCTCTCTACATGGGGCTCCCCCTGAGGAGCACCCGGAGGCTCCAGCTGGTGCAGAATGTGGCCGCGCGGGTGATTATGGGAGCAACGTGGCGCTCCCACGTAACACCTCTCCTGCGCGAGCTGCATTGGCTTCCAGTGGTCTTCCGGGTGCGCTTTAAGGTGTTGGTTCTCATCTTTAAAGCGCTCCATGGCTTAGGGCCAGGATATTTGCAAGACCGCTTGCTGCTACCGATAACCTCCCACCGACCAATTCGCTCTCACAGAGAGGGCCTCCTCAGGGTGCCGTTGGTCAAGCAATGTCGGCTGGCGGCCCCCAGGGGGAGAGCCTTCTCTGTGGGGGCACCCGCCCTGTGGAATGAGCTGCCTCCTGGAATACGATTGATCCCGGACCTCCGGACCTTCCGTAAAGCCCTGAAGACATTTTTATTCCACCAAGCCGGCCTAGCCTAAATGGTTTTTAATTGGGATTTTAAATTTTATGGATTTGGGGGTTTTAAATTGAGAAGCCAATGATTTAATTCTTTTTAATTATCTTAACTTTTGTATTTGTATGTTTTTTAATTTTGGCTGTTCACCACCCTGAGTCCCCTCTGGGAGAAGGGCGGTATACAAATTAAATTAATAAATTAATTAATAAATAATAAATAAATTTAGCCACATGATATCATAAGCACTATTAATAAACAGAAAGACTTTCAGCAGTTGCTTAGTAGCACGTTGAGTGCCCAAAGACCACATCATCTACCATTATATTATCAATAACTTTATTGTGTTTATCTGTCTTTCTTTAACAACATATAAAGATTGGGGGATATTGTTGGGAAAGAGTTGGGCAAATGTAGGACCATCACTGATAGAGGTCTGTTTGCTGTTGCAGGAATTGCTTGAGGTACCTGGTGATCCTCAGTGGGTGGAGACCATCACAAAGGACATTCACCGCCAATTCCCTTTCCATGAGATGTTCCTGTCTCCTGAGGGTCCTGGGTGAGTAGGTAAAATATGCAGAGTGGAATTTTTTAATAGATTATTACAGATTGAAATATACAGAATAGTTGTCTGAAGAACTTTTCAATCATATTTGTTTTAGGGGAAATAAATAATATTTAACTAAAATATATAAATGCTTCATCATGTGCTATCTTTTTTATTTTTTTCTTAATTTATCTCCAATATTGTATTGATAAAAAAAATGCCAAATCTAAACTGTAACATGCTTATGTGTTGCTCTATATGTTGCATAACAGCATAAGGTCCATGAATAGGTTTTTTGAGAGTTACAAGACTCCCTCCTTAACTCAATTTTAACTTTATTTTTTTAAAAAAAATTAAAAGGAAGTTAGCATGTTGCAGAACACAGGACTAGATTCTCTAGCTCCCAATAGCATATGTAGAAGATAAAAGCAATTGGTAGCCATAGGCTTTGCTTGCCACGAGACTGGGAAAAAGACCAAAAGAAGCCAGAATTGAGAAAACTCAGGGAAGGCTAAAGAGATGATAGGGAGAAACCTCACCAATTTCCTATGCAGAATATCATGTTATGGTACTCATTTGGTGAAAAGTCAAACTCTGCCATGCTCATGTTATTATAATAGTGCACAATGCATGCTCTAAAAATCACATATGGTCACTGACTTCTGAAGTGTACCTACCTCTGTCTAGGGAAGGGACTGTGGATTGATACAAGAAGCAAGACTTTCTTCACTGAATATTTTTCATATAGAGGCTAGATAATAATCTGCCAGGGGTGCTTTCAGTTGGATGATTGTTTTGATGACTGAAATGGACCTTTCCATAACTGTGTCCCCATAACCCTTTACCTCATCTTCTGAAAAACTATGACAGCATGGATAAAGATTGGTGATCCTAGCTCTGAGTTGTATGTATGTAAGGCTTAACGAGTCATTTGAACTCAAGCTTTGTGTGACTAATGGTTCAACATGTTGTGTGACCCTAAAAAAAGAATTAACTCAGTAACAACGCTCAGTGTGTTGCATGACAACAGACTATAATTCTTTACACATGGCATAACTCAAGGGTGTCAAACTCACATTGTCACAGAGGCATCACGTGATGTATCAGAACTTTTTTCCCCTTCACTAAACCGGGCATGGACAGCACATGACACATCTGGCCCACGGGCTAGGAGTTTGACAGCCCTGGCCTAACTGATTCCATTTCCAACTTTAACTTGGTTAACCCCAAGCCGAATTTTCCAGATGCATGAGGGTACTATTTGAATCATCCCAGCCAGTTGCTTTTAACCCAGTTTATCTATGGAACATGGACAATCCTACCATGTAGACTGGTCACTTGCCCCATGGAAGAGTGTTGGGTAATGGAAAGCCCACTTACATCTTCTGAGACTGAGCAACAGGTTGAATCCCACTGGCCAAGGCACAGCACAGGATTCTACCTAAAAGCAGAACAACAAAGCTGAGCTGAAGTGCTCTTACTGGATTGGATCCGGTGAACTCAAGGCAAAGGATGTGACCATGGCTTCCTCAAGCCATCTGTGATCTCTATTCCCTTATAGACAGCAAGGGCTGTTGCAGCTGCTGAAAGCCTACACTGTCTATCGGCCCCAAGAAGGTTATTGTCAAGCTCAAGGACCAGTGGGTGCCCTGCTTCTCATGCACATGCCACCAGAGGTGAGTCTCAGGCAAAGCCCTTCACTCTTACCTATAGTTATCAATATTGGATTGATTGACTGATCAAACAAAACATATGAGCCATTCTGATCTGAAAAAAATCTGGCTAGTGTGAAAGTCCATATAACATTAAAATACTTCCCAAATAGAAATTGGATGGGGTTGAACCCAATTTCCAAAGCTCCTGAGAAACCAAATCGCTTCCACTGCCCTTCAACAAGTCAAAATATAAAGGACAGGGGCGTCTGCATATGGGGTCAAAAAAGTCAACATGGCAGTGGTGTCAAAATGCAGTTAGTCCAGATGGTACAGTTATAGATCAGTTTGTTTTTATATGCATTGCCACAAATAAAAAATTGGCTGAAATTTGATTGCATCATCATGACCTCCTGACGGAGGTTTTTTTAAATGTACCCTTTGAAGATCCCTGAGAGGAACCAGGTTGCATCCCTCTGATTTTCCAAACCTTGTCTAGAATTCCAGACAAGATGGGCAGGAGGAGATTTTTCACCCCTTTTATCTTTCTTACAACAGAGTTATTCCATACTAAATCCTCTCTATCAGCTGCTCTGTTTGTCTTCTCTGATGGCTGCCTGTTTATTTTTTTCCAGCAAGCGTTCTGGTGCCTGGTACAGATCTGCGACCACTATCTGCCTGGTTACTACAGCCCCCAAATGGTGAGAGATTTAGGAAAGAAGGGAAATCCACCTGTGGGGCAGGGGTGGGTTCTACTTACCTTTACTACTGGTTTGCAACGGGGCCGCGCATGCGTGCTCGCTTTGCTTTTCTGCGCATGTGTAGAAGCATTCTGATGATGTCGGGGTCGGTGGGCAGAGCCTCCCGCCGGTTCTATAGAACCGGTCCGAACCGGGGGCAACCCACCACTGCTGTGGGGATGGGAATCAACAAACTGGAGTGGGACTGCAGTCCTTTAAGGCCTTTTTTTGGAGTTGAGTTAAAGTTCTCTCCACCAATTTTTAATAGCAGACGCTATATTGAGATCATTTTTTCTGTCCCCACTGCTAATGCTTATCCTTCTTCCACAGCCTCTATTCCAGCTTGCTGCCAAATGGTGCTATCCTCTTAATCAAAAATATCTGCAGGGTTTGGAAAACGAAGTTATGGGTTTAGCCCTCTGGCTTTGGTACCCAATTTTTCCTTCTCAACAATACTAGCAGCCAGAAAAACAGTGATGGGACAGGAATGAGGGTTTGACATTGGGTGCCTGCTGGCTTGTGCTGGTCTATCAAATGCGGATCAGCCTTTAACAATCTGGTCCTTGAACTCTTGCTGAGAAGAATCCACTTAGCTTGTTATGATGTTTTCCATTAGGTTCCAGGATGACAGTTGCTAGAGAAAATGATTTGTTACGTTCCTTTGTTGAAAGCAACATCCTAGCTGATTTAGGCAGAATGTTCTCCAGCTGGAGATGATATTAATTACCACTGATTGGGGAGAGGAATGGAACCCCTAACATATCCCCCTTTCAATCTCTCTCTGGTTTTAATTAAGCAAAACAGGCATGTAATTAGAAGACTTTTGGATGTATGGAACTTTGAAAAAGCAGCTCTTTCCAGATCTGGCATCTCAACAAGCCTGCTGATCAGCTGCTCACATCACATTCCCCATGGGAGGTGGGAGGGGGGGACAAGGAAGTGGAAGAGAGTGCCTGGGGACCCAGGGTGGGTGGGTAGGGAAATAGGACTCATTTTTATTTATTATTTTGATTTTGAACTTTTAAATAGATTAAAGGCAAATGTTCAGGCGATACAACTTCATATTTGACTCACAAAAAAGTAGATTCATGCATGAAATTAAAGCCTAAGGCTCAAGAATTGTGCCAGGTGAGGATGGCAAGCAAGACTGTAGTGTAGGTGTCTCCAAACTTGGCAACTTTAAGACTTACGGACTTTAACTCCTGGAGTTCCCCAGACAGCTAGCTGACAAACTCTGGGAGTTGAAGTCCACAAGTCTCAAAGCTGTCAAGTTTGGAGACCCCTACTGTAGAGGATGGATGAAACTGTAGGATGGAAGGCTGGAGGTCTCTATCTCCCCTTCTGGAAATGCTTTGTGTCTTCATACCCTGGCCTTCACACTCTGTCCATTCTATTCTGGGCTAATGGCTTAGTAGCTCCTACTGCCACTATACCTTCTTCCAGGGGCCATTTCATGAATTATTCTTCCCTTAATACTTCCCATAACCTTAACTGGGCTTTCACAGCCTGTGTTCCCTTTCTGATGATTGAAGAATCAAAATGCAAAAAGGTAACTAATTTCCATAATGTCACTTCCTAACTATAGCATAGAGACACATAACTTGAAGATTCAGCTATTGCTTGGTAAATAGACCATTTTCAGAAGACATAAAGGAAATGTATTTTAAATAAAATCTTCAAGTTTAGATATTAAAATGAAAATACTGTTGAATGACCACTATTTAAAGCCTGATTTAAATAGCTGCCAAAAGGAAGTGACAAATGAAAATGCAGCACTCAAGTCAGATCATAAGATATCACTGGTGTGCTACAAATGATGTGTCATCCCCCCCCCCCGCACACTGTTTTGGACCTGGAAAACCTCCTGCACCAACCTGGAAGCCAAAACGGCATGGGAACCACATGAGGCCTTCCTGCGCCCCGTTTTGGACCTGGAAAACCTCCTGCACCAACCTGGAAGCCAAAACGGGGCATGGGGGAACCACATGAGGCCTTCCTGCGCCCCGTTTTGGGCCTGGAAAACCTCCTGCACCAACCTGGAAGCCAAAACGGGGCATGGGGGAACCACATGAGGCCTTCCTGCGCCCCGTTTTGGGCCTGGAAAACCTCCTGCACCAACCTGGAAGCCAAAACAGGGCATGGGGGAACCACATGAGGCCTTCCTGCGCCCCGTTTTGGGCCTGGAAAACCTTCTCACCAACCTGGAAGCCAAAACGGGGCATGGGGGAACCACATGAGGCCCTCCTGTGCCCCGTTTTGGGCCTGGAAAGTCGCCTGCACCAACCTGGAAGCCAAAATGGGGCGCGGTGGGCTAGGGGCACATGTGAGGGGGGTGCATATGCAGGCACACATGCGTGGGGGCGGGGCACATGCACAGGGGGTGCTCGCATTGCATTTTGGGGGTTTGGCCATGTGTGTGTGCATTCGTGCGCTTGTGTGCACACTTTGGGCACTCAGCAGCAAAAAGGTTAACCATCACTGTCATATTCTATCACTTGTAGAAGAATAAAGAAAACATAATTCTGTGTTTTAATACCCAGCTTGTATCCACACTGTCATAATTTTTAACGATTGTAAACAAACAGTATAAGTCAAGGATGGGTGAAGGTAGGAAAATGAGAGTTACAGAAGAGGAAACTATTTGATTAAATGATATGGCTGCATCTTTTTCCTGCAGGAGGCGCTGGTGCTAGACAGTGAAATTTTTACTGCTCTCCTCCATCGTGTGTGTCCAAAGGCCTTTAAGCACTTGCAGAAGCATGGCGTGGGGCCTTTGATGTACATGCCTGAATGGTTCCTGTGCCTCTTTGCCCGCACGCTGCCCTTCCCCACAGTGTTGAGAGTCTGGGATGCCTTCCTGAGTGAAGGTGAGTGAGGCCAATGAGCACTTAGGGATCTGTAAGTCCGAACTGAGACAAGAAGCAGAATCATATTGCAGAACTTTGCAAGGCAACAACGGATGTGACTGAGAGAATGAATTGCTAGAGTCTAATCCTACAGATGCAGGAGGCTAAATTGGAAAACAAGGGCAGGAGAGTCGGCACAATCTTTCTTTTAAGGAGAGGCATCTTCTATGGATAAAGGAAGAGATTAAAATCTTTCTGAAGTAAATGTAAGAAGAAATCTGATATTGGATAGAGAAGGACAGAGATGCAGGGAGGGTCATGATTTGGAACTAAGATGGACAATATTATGATGGACTCACACTTAAGATTTTTTTGTAAGAGCAAAGTAGAGATGTTGCTCAGTAGGCAGAGCTCTGCTCTTGTGTTTTCACAGAGCCAGGAGATTCTGTTTTTTTCTACATTTTGGAATGGAGTTATTCCAAAATCACTAAGCCAGATCATGTCTGATAATTATTTAGATGAAGAACTACTAGGGAATCCCAGGGCTGTAAAATAGATAAAAGGAGGAGTTGAAAAAACATTCAAGAAAAAGATACTAGCATATTGTTAAATATGCCATATAATTGCCAAGAAAAGCCCAAGAAGTCACCAAAATGTGACTCGATGTTATGCGAGGACATTTTTGAGGTTTTTCTCATTTTTATGTTATTTTAGGGCTTGTACTGCGTTTTTTAAGTGTTTCCACTTCAAAATGATGGGAAATATATGCTGATTTTGAGGAGCTACGGTTGAAGGACATACTGGAGATCCTGAAAAAAAAGATATTTTATCAAATTACTCATCCTTATTTTGAAGGGACAGTCATCCCCAGCCTTCTACAGATTCTGAGACTGTAACTTCCAGAATTCTCTGTGAGCATGGGCAAAGAGTGGGAATTCTGGGAATTACAGATCTACATTAGCTGTAATACCCTGAGTAAGCAGGATATCTTGGTGTACAAAGGATGACTTCAGTAAATTCATTCACCAGTTTTCTAATTCTGCTTCCCTGGAGTTCCAATTCTGCTTCCCTAGAGCTCTTAGATTATCTAATTCTGCTTCGCTGGAGCTCTCAGATTATTCAGAAACCACGAGAAGCACTATTATTCAATGGAAGAACACCCAGTTTGAATCCCAGCACTTCCAGCCAAAAGGGTTAAGTAACATGAAAGATGTTGCTTGTCAGAATAGACCTGGCCAGATGGATGGAAAAGAGTGTAGAAGAGTGCTTGCCATGAGCTCAACTGCTCTGCCTTGGCTTTCTCCCGCAGGGGTCAAGGTGTTGTTTCGTGTTGGTCTGCTGTTAGTTTGCTTAGCCCTGGGCTCCTCTGAAAAACGACGTAGCTGTTCAGGACTGGTGGAGACACTGGAGAAGCTACGCAGCATCCCACCCCAGTTTCTGCAAGAAGACAGCTTCATGGCAGAGGTAGAAACTACAAAAACTTTCTGTCTGGTGTAGCAGCTCTCTCTTGTGTTTTCTTTCTAGCCACAAATCAACTATTTTTGGTGTGCAGGCATGTGAGACTTGCAAAAGATAATCACAAGAATAATTGGGAGATTTTGTGAAAGGGTAAGAACTCTCAGTGTGTCTGTTGTGTAAAAAGTGGGATGTTAAAGGACAGAAAAGAATGTATATCCCAAAGGTGCTTTTTCCAAAAGGCAATTGGACTTTCTTGGGTTTTTTTTTTTTCTTTGAAAATGTTTCACTTCTCATCCAAGACGTTTCGCCAGTTCTGACTGGCAGGGAATGGAAAGATTATATTTTTTGCAGTCATCTGGTCATTAGCATTTTGAAGGTCTGTCCTTAGTTCTCTGAGAGTTGTTGAGGACACTTGGCTGTTTATCTGAATCTTTAGAGTCACCTGAATCAGAATGTAAACGGGTGTGGAACAGTGGTGAAATTCAAAAATTTTTACTACCAGTTCTGTGGGCGTGGCTTGGTGGGTGTAGTGGGACCTGGTGGGCATGGCTTGGTGGGCATGGCAGGGAAAGGATACTGCAAAATCTCCATTCACACCCTGCTCCAGGGGAAGCATACTGCAAAATCCCCATTCCCTCCCCACTCTGGGGGAAGGATATTGCAAAATCTCCATTCCCACCTGACTCTGGGGCCAGCCAGAGGTGGTATTTGCCGGTTCTCTGAACTACTCAAAATTTCCGCTACCGGTTCTCCAGAACCTGTCAGAACCTGCTGGATTTCACCCCTGGTATGGAACCTTCTTGGGACTGCTGAAAGGACTGCATAGTAAACAGGAGATAGGTGGTGTTATAGCCCTCCCCCATGGTTGAGGGTGGGCTCTTCATTTTGAACATAGATGGCCTCTTTGAACCCTCTTTCAAACCTGGTCCTCTCTGTCCAGAATGTGAACTTTGCTATCTTCAAAAATGTGACCCTTTTCTTTCAGACACAGATGGACTGCTGCTGTCTCATGGAGGCTTAATGCATGTGTATGGATTTTCTTTGCTTGCAATATTTGTTGACTACCACTATTATAAGTCTTGGGCAGTTTACAATTAGATAGAAAGAGAACCAATACAATACAAAACAAAGTGATACCCACATACCAAGATAAATGCCATCAACCAAGAAATCAGGATCCAAAACATGTTAGAATAAAAAAAGATTCTGCTGGTTTGCAGAATGCAAGGATGTCCAGGAAAAGCATATATCAGAAGTCAGGGCCCACTGCAGAAAATGCCAGCCACCTGATCCAAGTCCCATATACTTCCTGTGTAGGAGAGGGTGGTGGCTCTCAAGGGGTGGTAAGAAGAAGCGTGGCTCTAATGGGTAGAATCGATTTTGGCAAGTTGGTGCCTGATGTAATTCTGCTATATAAGGCTTTGTAGGTATCCAGCACATAGAATTTGGATTCTTTCCTTTATTATCAACCTGATGGCAGAGTGGTTAGAATGCAGTATTGCAGGTTAATTCTGCTGCCAGCAGTTCGATTCTCACTGGCTGATGGTTGACTCAGCCTTTCATCCGAGGTGGGTAAAATGAGGACCCAGATTGTTGAGGGCAATATGCTGACTCTGTAAACCGCTTAGAGAGGGCTGTTAAGCACTCTAAAGTGGTATATAAATGCTATTGCTATTTTGCCCTTTTTGTGGTGGTAGTTGTTGCTGAAAAGTGTCTTGCTTGAAATAAGCTATTCTGCCACTGAATTCCAGCAGCATTTTTTTTTAGATAATCAGGAGGTTGCAAACTACATGGGAGCCCTAATTGATTTGCTGCTAGGCACCCAGAAATCTATCCAGCAGTCTCATTCTACTATACACACAAACCAGCTACGAGCCGGCAATATTCACCAATGTCCTTTCCTCGTCTCTGTTGCAGAGATGGGGAAATTTGAGGGCTGGGAGCTGTCCTTGGGTGAGTAAGCAAAGGAGTAACATCATTTAAGTGCCTAGGCTCCCATTCTAAAATAGGGGTTTGGTTTTGTTGTATTCCTGAGCTGTTTTTTGTTATTCCTGGCGTGTTAAATTAAATGAAGCCTTATGTACCTGTTTTTAATTATTTTGCTCCTTCAAATGAGAATTTTTTTCAGGGAATTTGCAGCCTAAATTCAGGAATGCCACTTATTGAAGCCATAAAGAGGTATAAAAGAAGGAATGTATGGCCACATATGGACCCTGATCGACAGGTTGCCCCCACCTTTTCTGTCTTAGAAGTTCATTTATTGTAATACAAGTAACTCTAAATTCATATTTTTATCCCATGGGCCTCATATCTAAATTTGTCCTTGTTGCTTTCTTCACCTTTGATAGGTCCATGATGTGCCCATCTCAGAGAGTGACCTGGAACGTGAAAGTAGAATCCAACTTGGAAAACTGTGCAAAACTCAGCCTAAATTCCAGTACAATCCAAAACAGCGCCTTTCTGGTGCAAAGGCCATTTTTGACGCTCAGCAACTGGAGGATGTGCAGAACAATAAGACAGAGAAGAAAATTCATGCACATACTTTCCACATCCCCAAAATCAAGGTAGACCCGCCCCCATTATCCCCAAAGGAGCAGAAGAGGGCCTCGGAGATGCAAGGTCAGAAAAAAGAACAGAAAAGGAAGAAACCGGACACACGGGGAAAGACTTTCCACGCCTTTGAGCATCCCACGGGTAGAAGGGAGAGAAAGCTAGAACCAGAAGCCGCAAGGAGCAAGTCGTCTTTTTACTTGGAGGCATGATTCTTCTCACTCAGGGCAGAGAAGAGATGGAACTCTGGGAGAACAATCATGCAGCGTTTTCTCACTGCCCTGCTTTGGTTAATGGGTGAATTCAGAAGCTTCGACATAGCCTGAGTTGAAGGCAGTCCTGAATTTCTAGGAGATAAATAAATAAAATAGGCTGGGTTTCCTAATTTTTAGGAGCTTCCTCTTTCCGAAGCCTTCATCTATAACCCTGCCTGAATTGAAATAAGAGATAGGCAATCCCATCCTACATATGTTTTGGGATGTAGATAGAGCTATGAGTTACAGAGCAGAGGTCTCCAACTTTGGCAACTTTAAGCCTGGTGGACTTTAATTCCCAGAATTCTGGGAGTTGAAGTCCTCCAGGCTTAAAGTTGCCAAGGTTGGAGACCCCTGTTATAGTGTGTGTGTGTGTGTGTAGAGATATGATTTAGCTAAGTTTGCTGAATTTCAAAGGACAGAGCAAGTGGATTTCACTAAGTACCCTTTTTCCCATCCCTCAGCTCGTACCCCCAGTAATTTTGGCATAGTCTCAGCAGGAGGAACCCCTGATAATTTGGAAATATGGCAGCTCTCATTTAACAGCTGCCTTAGACAGAAACTTTCTGCCGTTACAATGGTGATGAAAAAAATAATTTTGCGAGAATCTGCAGCTCTGTAAAGCAAACAAAAGTGGAAGTAAAATTGTAAAAATGTGGTGTTTTTCTTAGTGACTGCTTTGCTTGACGACCAATTTGCTGGTCCCAATTCTGGTCACTTGACAAGGACTACTTGTGTGCTACACATTTTCATCTATTTTTGCCGTGGATGTTGTAACCTAAAGTCCAGGCCTGGCAATGAGGAAAAAAAAAAGAGAAAGAGCTCTAAGATCTTTGGATGAATGAAACCTAATATGAAATACATTTTATTTACAATTGCTCCAGGCTTTGAGGTATTTGGCACCTTGATTCTAAGGGAGTAAAATTTATTGCACATGTATACATAAAACAGATTCACAGAATCTAATTTAGTAAAATTACAAAAATGTGATTTTCCTATATCTATAAAAAAACAAAGTTGTTCTGATTCAGTGTGGCAAAGGCAGGAGAGGGGGGATTGTATAATTATTTGGTTCTAGGAAAAGACTGTTTTAAATTGAACAAACTGAAGAAAATAGAGAAAGGGTGAATCAATTAGCGGTTAAAAGAACTACCGGTAATCATAATAATTACAATTTTAAAAACCCTCAGTAACAAAGGTCCACATGATCAGTATAAATAGTTATAAGGAGTTAATTGTTGAGTTCATCATTAAATCTCATTAGCATTTAGCAACAAAATGTGTCGTTTTTTAATTTTTAGAGCACAAAGACTCTTCAAAAACAGATATCAGTAACAACTGATAACCATTCTTTAAAATTAAAGTGACTTTCTTTCCAGGTATATATCAGTATCCTCTCTGTTGTGCCCTCAATTTCATAGAGCCAAAGTTCTTCATAAAACAACTAATTCTATATTTTACAAATATAATTCAACATCACACTGAGATCCTTAACTATTTCTTCTCAAGATTACATTAACATACGTGTTAATTTGAAACCCCCCAAAAGCTATAATAGAACAAGACAAAATCATATGACTTAAAGAAAGTTCAGTTTTCTTACATAGCCAATCTAAGAAGTCTTAATGTTCATCCTTTATTAAATGTTCTTTGATAGGTCCAAAAGACCTGTCATAATATTTTATGATTAAATAGTTTCATCTTTAAATAGTAAGAAGCGTATTTCCCATTTTTTAATACCTGGACCCCTTGATTTTCCAAAACTGGATAATTTTTCCTTCCTTAGACCCAATATATAAATAATGCAAATATTCCCTTCATTTTTTATTACCTTATGAAAATGAATTCTTGGTATACATTTGACTGCAGCCTCTCTTAATGAAGCTAAAATAGAAAGTATCTTGGACGCTGGTAAACTATTCAGACCATGCTTTTAATATATATATTTGTTTTCTCAGGTTTTCGCGGGTGTTTGTATGTAGGTCTTTGGTTATTCGGGTCTTCTCCCACGTAAAATTGGAAGTGTCTTGGCGACGTTTCGACGAAGTCTCATTCGTCATCTTCAGGCTGGTGTTCTCGGCTTCGTGCTTCGTGCTTCGTGCTCCTGGAAGCACGAAGCCTCTCTCAAAAATTTTAAAATAGCCATTGAGAATCAATTATTTCTATACCGCCCTTCTCCTGCGGGACTCAGGGCGGTGTACAGCCAAGATAAAACATTGCATATAAAATTTAAAAACAACATTAAAACATTAAGATATCATTTAGCCTCATTTAGAGCCTCTTCCTCGCTATTTTCAGATTTGACTTCTACCACATTAACTTCTCATGTGATTTGAGATCAAATCACAGCTGCCTACCTATTAATAACCAAATATGCCTAGCAGCTTTCAAAGCTGGAAATGATCCTGATATAATGTATCTTGATTCCAACACCTTGGCAAGATTTCAGTGATATTACACATTTGCTTTCCAAATTGGCCCAGAAAGGGAAATAAACTTAATACAGTCAATCTTTATTCCAGAAAAACATAAATGTTAAGATAAAGGCTCAATAGTATAGTTGAAAATCTGTTAGGTTAATGCTATCATCTTCAGAAAGATAATTGCAAGTTTCCCAAGTATATTCTTGAGACTGAGAGAAGAAATCAATAGTTTAACAACCAAATTAAAAATCAGACTGATCTGAAATCCATGGCTGAAATCATCTGCAAGGCTTCCTCTCATTGGTCACAAAGAAAGTGATCTGCAGGATATTCAATTTATTTTGAATTAGTACTCTGGACTAAAGTAAAACCTCAAAGGTGGTATTAAACACTGAACTGAAATTTGGGGGAGAGTATTAGGGAATAAAAGTCCTTCAAAGCTGCAAAGCCCCATCCATTTGACTAAGTTGAACACAATTCCCAGATGGCTGATACTCATTTTACAAAGTATAACAGAAGAGACCAATATTCTGTAATCGCTGAAACCTTCACTTTCTGTGGGAAATGAGTGTGTGTAAGAGAGTTCAATGGGAAGAAATATAGCTGCTCTTATTTTCCCTTTTTCTAGTGATTTAGGATTATTCCTCATCAGAGTCTCATTTTTTTTATTAAAGAGTTTTACAAAAGTTTTTACAAATATTTCCCCCTCCCTCCCCCTCCCTTCCTAACCCTCCCACCCACCCACCCCCACCCCCCACCCCTGAACTTCCCAGACCAAAATACAGGATATAACAATTAACAATCATATACTAAGCTAAGCTAACTATCTATGGACTCCTATCCCCCCCCTTTCATACTTTAACTCCCCTTTTACTTAACTAAATATGAATACTCTTAATTTTTCTATTCATTCATAAGCTATTTGATACTTTTTAGTCCGGTATTTGTTTTGAATATAATCAATCCATCTTCTCCATTCCCATATATATCTTTCTTGTGAATAGTCTTTCAAATATGCTGAAATTTTTGCCATTTCTGCTAAATTCGCTACTTTTAATGTCCATTCTTCAATAGTAGGCAAATCTTCCTTCTTCCAATATTGCGCCACCAAAAGTCTAGCTGCAGTTATTAAATTCAAAATCAATTTAGTCTCTATAACCGTACAATCTGTAATTATACCCAACAAAAACAACTGTGGAATAAACCTTATCTTCTTTTTAAGAATATTTTGGATAATCCACCATATTTTTATCCAAAATGCTTTAACTTTTTTACAGGTCCACCATATATGATAATAAGTGGCATCATCACAATCACATCTCCAACACTTAGGTTGCAAATTCGGATACATACAGGCTAGCTTTTTAGGGTCTAAATGCCATCTGTAAAACATTTTATAAAAATTTTCTCTTAAATTTTGCACTTGCGTAAATTTCACATTTCTAACCCATATTTTTTCCCAAGTTTCCAACATTATTGGTTCCTGAATATTTTGTGCCCATTTTATCATACAATCCTTAACTAATTCCGTTTTTGAATCTATTTCTATCAATATATTATATAATCTTTTTATATGCATTTGGCTTTGATCTCTAATTTGTTTTACCAAATTTTCCTCGTTCCACATGATACCAATTTTTTGATCTTCTTTCCATCAGAGTCTCATTTGAAGTCCTTTCTTCTGAACTCAGGGACAGCGGAAAAAATTATGCCTGCACATTTTTTATTGCATTCACCACCAAACCCTATTCAGCTTGGTAACAAGCAGTTGCATTTACAAAGAGGTTCAGACAAGTCAGGATGGCAGTTATGGTCACACAATTGGAACCCCACCCCTTTTTGTACACATGTCAATATGGCATGCCTGTGCAAAAGGATAAAACTTCAGTCACATGTTATCACTATTTTGATTTTTTTTTTACACCCCCCTCAGATATTTCTCGTATTAAGGCCAGGGGGTAATTGTCTCCTCATATTCTCAGTTGTCTCAAGGGCGTTTTTTTCTTCAAAAAGCAACTGAACTATTTTTTTCCTTGAAGAAGAAAAAAAAAACATTTTGTTTCTCATTCAAGAAGATTCTGATGGTGGAGAGGGAGGGTTGGAAGGATAGGTACTATTGAGACAGTTGGGCAAAACAACCAAAAATTACTCTTCTTAGCATGGACTGGCTGGGGAGAAGGTAAATTTTGACAGTAGTTGATGTAATTATTTCAGAAAACCTGTTTTGATTTTGCACAAGTGTATGGAAAGGGAATCTGATTATCTGTAAGCAGTAATCAAAATGCATAAATAAACTTCAAGGGTTAATTTGGGTGTAGTAGTTTAGCAAGACCAAATGCAGACAATGGGGATGAAAAGACTTTTGCGAAGTCTTTCAGCTGGTTGAAATTTAGTCGGACCAAATGTCAGCTTCACTAATGACAAACCATTATCTATTGAGAACATATGTGCTAATGATTGTGGGTAGATGTTTGGAAGCAAGATAAAGTATGTCTGGGAGCAAACATAAATCCAATAACATTTGGATTGAAATTTATGGTCCTGCTAAGTGGTGGAACTCTTTTGTTCTGAATGATCTGAAAGGTATGAAAGCTGCAAGAAGGAGGCAATCCTCTTCTTTGGGTCAACATACTAATTCAATTCCATCAGAAAGACAGAACAAAACAATTCCAGAATCTCTCCACAGCATGCTCAAACTCCCAAGACATCTGGTATACACAGCTACAATCAATAGAACCTTCCCTTCCTCACCCACATTCCTATCCTGAATGGTGGCTATCAGCTAGGGAGAAAAACAAAACCAGAGTAATCATGGTTTTGAGTCATACCTAACATGACTCAGACATAGACTTGGACATAGAGACACACACATACACAAACCAGGACAATACTATTTGTTGCCAATAAAGAGCAAAGGTAATAAAGGGAGGATAAAGGGAGGATGGGGATCGTAAGTAGGGATAGCAAATTTTGTGTCCATATAGTTTTCTGCTGAAAACGGCAAGGAAGTAGCATTTTAACTCAGCAATGGGGAAAGATTTGAATTAAAAGGTGATTGTATAAATCCAGCTCTTGGGTCCCTGTAGGTGAGAAAAACAATAGCATTTCAGAGCCTCAAATCAGGGCAATATCTGTCATGAAAATCCAAGGGGGAAAAATAAGGATGGGGTCAAAAACCAAGTAGAAATCATGAAGAAGGTTGTTGCAAACAGGAATAACCTGCTGGGGGGGAA